TTTTCGCTTGACTCCCCCACGTACTTGCTCGCTGGCCACCGGATTTGCCTTTCCGGAACCCCGAGGACTCATTCTTAGAGAAACTCTTCTTGAATTTCCCCTTGCTATATGTTCCCCTTGGTTTGGCCCCTTTCCTAAATGTGGATCCCGACCCCGTCGTGTTCCCCTTTCGCAGGTTATCGTTAAAATGCACCTTGATGGCCGCATCCAACGCTTCCTTGTAGTTGGTCGGGTTCTAGCGCATCACCTCACCGCGAGCCCAGGTTTGCAAACCTGATATGAAGGCATGGAACGCATCCATATCCCCTATGTCCATGACAAGTATCCTCTTTGCCATGAACCCATTCACATATTCCTGGATGGTTCCAGTCTGCTTCAGCCTACTCAGTTCATCCCTCAGATGCAGAGTGGCATTCGGAGGAACATATGTTGCGCGGATCCTCGCCTTCATCATGTCCCAAGTGACCACCGGTCCTTCGTTGGCCTCCGTTGTTCTCCACCAAGACTTGGCATTATCTGCTAAGTATGGTTTTGCACATGGGACCTTCTCCGAGCTTGGTAACCGCAACGCTCGGAAGTAGTCCTCCATATCATAAAACCAATCCTCCACCACCTTATAGTCATTCACTCCCTTGAAGACCGGTGGGGGCTTTGGTTTGTACTTGGGAACTGCCTGAGGGACTGATTCCACTTCAGTCTGTTCGACCTTGTCTGGTTTTGCCTCAGTCCCTGCCGAAGGGTCCGCACCTTCTGCGCTGCCAGCATCCGCAGTCTTTCGCCTTTTCTTCCGCTTCTCGTCACGCTTTAGCTTGCATACGAGAGTCTCCAGCAGGGCATTGGTCTGCGCCAATTGACCTTCTAGAACGTCCAATCGAGCCTTGGACGACCGAACCTCGCCACCGGACTCCTGTTTGGAAGTTTCCTCACTGGAGTCCTCCTCATGCAAGGATTCCTCATCCATAGCCTCTTGTTCGACCGGAGGCTCCAGCTCTGGCGGAGGTTCCGTCTCCACCTGGGTTCGCTTACGCCCTGCCCTTGCCATCTCCCAGCAATCCGCCTCTATCCTTCGCTAGAACTGAGGAAAAGGCTCCGATACCAAATTGTAAGCCACAAATTTTTCCTTTCCAATTTGCCAGCTTACCTCGTCTATCCGTCCAACACTGCCTTGGCTTTTGTTAAGTTCCCTCGCCAAGGTTCTCGCCTATGGTACCAACTCCTACTTGGTTTCAGCTACTCACTGCACGAGCAACGGGGTGTTAGCCATCCTTCCACGGATTCCCAAATCACTCCCAATCCCCCTCCCCGGGTTAGACTGGACTTAAGGTTCGGCTACACTCCCCGCAAGCACAAGCAACCAAGCACACCAAGCTTCCAGGTTCCTAACATCCCTTGGTACCACAAGACTTGATCATGGGACCCTCTAAATCCCAAGTCTTGAGTGCAACACTTGCTTCGGGATGCCGGGGCGAAACACCGTGGCCTAGCGGCCCGGTATGGGTACCTCTCGCCCCCCACTTCCATCCCGAAGGAAGGCCCAAGCCCCTAGGAAGGGCGAGGACCAATGAGCCGCATGGTACTCAAGTGGGGCACCACTCCACATGAGCCGGGAGCACCGCAATCGGTTTCCCTTTCGGGAGTGGGAGCTGCTCTTGAGCACTTCCTTGGATGGCCCCTCCGGCACCAGCCAAGTCCATGCTCACTCCCACCCAAGGCCCCTCGGTCCCAGTCTCAACCTCAAGTCGGTTTGGAAGCCCAACTGGAGAGTCCCTTCAACTGGTTCCTGGACCTCACTATCCCTACTATACTTTTGGAACCCCCTGCAGCCCCTCCCCCCTGGGGGACGCACGCTTTGGGCTTTCACCCCTTGACCCGTATTAGTATTTGGACTTAGTCTCTGGCTCGATCTCGGATCCGATTTCGGATCCGACTTCGGATTCGGTCTCGGACTCGATCGCGGACTCGATCTCGGACCCGATCTCGGGCCCGACCTCGGACTCGACTTTGGACTCGGTCTCGGACCCGATCTCGGATCTCGGACTCCGTCTCGAACTCGGACTCGAACTCGGTCCCCGAGTCGGTCTCAGACTTGATTCCGGACTCTATCTCGAACTCGGTCCTAGAGTCGGTCTTGGACTTGATCTTTGACTTGGTCCCATCCGATGAACTCTTTGTCATTTTGGTCATGCTTTCGGGGTTCCTTTAGCCTACGACACCTCAGCGGGTTGGTTCTTTACAGTGCTATAGTTCTCTAGAATTTAAGAATGATTGATCACATGATCTAGTGTCAATCTTTTCCTCCATAATCAGATTTTACACCTCCGGCTACATATTGACAAGCCACTGGAACTCCAGGTTCGATCACTTGTAGCCTTTGAGAAGCTTGTATGCCATCACTCCAAGCCCCCAAACATCCACTGCCTTTGTGTATGACAATCTCCTGTATCTCTCGATGAAGATATTCTCAGGAGCCATGTACTTCTTTGTCCCACAACACTAGCTCATCTCTCTTGGATCGTCGGTTACCACTCCAAATCCACCAATCAGTGGTTCGTCTATGCTTGCATCTTGCAGCTTGGTGAAAACGTTCTCCAGCTTGAGGTCGCGATGGGCAACACCCTTCGACTGAGTGTCTCGGCCAGCTTCTTCAGAATCTCGGCTACCTCCTTCTCGCTCAGTGGCCCTTTCATCGCTTGATCCCACAGGCTAGGGCCACACAGCTCCATGACTATCGTCCCAAAGCAACACCTGTCAACCTTCTTCTCCCTTTCTCCCTTTTCTCCCTTTTCAGCCCCTGGAGAGAGATAAGATCCTTGTTCCCTCTTGGCGCCACTCTCACGCTTAACCATCTTTTCTGCGAACGTTGTGGGCTGTGTTATCAACCGGTCATCAAAAATTAAAGTTCGCATGTTACTATTTTTCTATATCCTCAACAACATTATGTAAAGGGTATATTCAACTTCAAAGCGATTTGAATCCTCAGATGTGTAACTGCAGTTACAGCTCATTGTAAAGCAAAGAAGATTCACAAATTCCATGTAATGCCCTTAGTGGGCATTTAACAACACTTGATTTTTTAAATTCCCTGCACGTAAGCCTGTCTTTCAGTCCTTGGGGATGTTCCATCTCCTCCCCAAATGCAGTGCTCTCCCACAGTCCCACTTCATCCAAGCGCCACTGGTTCCGGGGATTTCCATAAAAACCACCTTCATCAGTGGCAGCAAATAGTTCCTCTTTACCTCGGCTCCCTCGAGAGATACTCAATCCTCGAATCCACCACCTTTCTCATCGCACATTCCCTCCATAACCCATAAGACCCTCGTCCTTGTCTAGCATCCTCTTCACACACCACTGGTCTGTTCTTCCTCTACGTTTTGCTGTCTCAGAATTACTTCCCGGACAAGGTCGCGGAGGATCTCATCGTTCCAGAGCAAGGCGATGCTCGCAGCGGCTAGAGTTCCAGTGCTATCGCCGCAAATCCTCAGACCCATCGGCGGAAAGCTACTCGCCATCTCCAGCTCTCATCCACCGCGACGTTACGAGCAAATCCACGCCCGGTGCTCTCGATTGATCCAAGATGACCCAAACGGCGATCACGGCGACTCCCAATTCGTGGTGTGGATAGCGCCATTTGGATCGCGAGCCTGGGAAACAAGATGCTGGCGATTGCTTCCACTTTTCTCTATGCTCTGCTCATGAACAGAGTTTTTCTCATCGCGAGAGATTCGTCCACAGAGAACATGGATCGATTGTTTTGCGAGCCATTCCCAAAGAAGTGTAGTCCACGGACAGATAACTTGATCGAGTTCGCGAAATCGTGACAGTGCTTAGAAGATCCGGGCGTGATGAATCGTTGTTGACTGTGAATAATCGGCTCTCCAGGGAGCCAGGAACTCGGACGATCGAAATTTTTTCTGCAAGGAGCAGCAAAAACTCTTCCAATCGCATGGCTGTTTCGCCGGTCAAACGTCTACTTCGTTCCGGGATTGTTCTTGGTGGGCAGCAGCAGATCGCGGCGGTAGTGACTTCGCTGGACGAGCGTCACTTTGACGGAGATCTACCTCAACTCCTCCACCGCCGATGGATCGATCGTGAGAGTGGAGCAGCCCAGCCACGAGGGGCAGCAGCATACCGGATTTCTCGATCACGACGAGAAGGCTCTCGCGGAGATTTATTTTCTGGGTTGCTCCTGGCACCACTTTCGGCTACATTGGCCATGGAATGGAGGCATAACCATGTCAAAGAAAGATAGCTTCCTATATCAAACAATTCATACCAAAACTCTCTACATGTCCTAAAAAGAATGGATTAAGATTCAAGTTGGTTTGAGTTAAACACCAGGCGCTATAGCTTGACATCTCCATAATCGCAGTTAGACTCCCGAAACGAAAAGAAGCAAGGATCCATAGTTCTTGCCTTGGAGCAAACATCCCCACCTGATCCAGGCCCAGCCCACATAAGCCAGGGCCTCAACCCGGTTAATCCCTGAGCTTGGATGTTACAAAAAAGAATCCACGATTAAGATGTGCGAGGATAAATTTATAGCAAGAAATGGCATAGCTTCTGTAATTATCATTCACATGATAGACGTTTTTCAATTTATAAGATTTGCATGATGGGTGATTCTCCTCTTTTTGTTTCCATGGCCGTGCAAGTTGTAGTTCCAGTGGGATCAAACTCCTGGTGAAGTTTTCGTGTATGAATGTCTTCTTTGGACTCGGCAGTGCCAAGCCTGCAAGAATGATCGCGTTGATAACTTCTTCCAGGAGCCTGTCTCAAGCCAAGCTGATCCAAAGTCGGGTTTTTTCCAGCAGCCACCAAGGGACTTTTCTGTTGAATCTTCACATCAAATGTATGGGAGATGTGGACATGTGGCCGTTGCTTGCTCGGTCTTCGATGCTGTAGAACTCACTTGGAATTTGATGCTGTCAGCATATGCCAAGAACGGGCATTTGCAGAGGGCTAAAGAGGTTTAAGACTCCATGCCTGGGAAGGACTTAGTTTCATGCAATGGAATGCTTGCTGCGTACTCTCAGGCCGGGAAACTGGGTGACGCTGTCGGGTTTTTTGGAGCGAAGAGTCTTAGATAACCGAAGCAGGGACAACACTGTGTATATTGTTGGAGGCAAGCTGCCAGTGGTCGTCTCTGCGATGTGCTGGTAGAGTTTGGGCTTGGCTGCCTGTTTCGCTGATGCCCGATTCTTGAAGGTTTTGGATTTGGGGAATATGTGTAAGGTTCTGGTTTCCTTGCTCAAACCATGGATGGTGATTACAACCTGAAAGAAGAGTGACACTTCGCTTGGATGACACACGTATGTTTTTGTGCAAGGCCTCGTCAAGGACTCGGCCTCCTAAGGTGGCAACACGCATATCAATGAGGGTTCTATCTTCAAGCCCGATTCCTTTAATTCGAGGTTATAACAGAAATTCTTTTAATTAATTAAAGACTAATTTAGAGTCTTAGAACATTCTTAAACAATATAAGTTTAAATCCTTTTAAACGAGAAAAGTTCAGATGAATGGATGTTCGGGCAAAGTGGCGGCAAACTGTGAAGCAAGCCACCAAAGTCTAAGTTCTTCTTTAGTAAGTTGTTATATAAGATCAGTGGCTTGCTAGATTGGTAAAGGTCTGGATACTCTCAAGTGGCTACTGGCTTGAAGCTGTGATTAACTTTCAGAGTTTCTGGTTCTTAATCCCTATTGCCACAGGTTGATGAAATACGCCCCTCTGCACATACTTTGAATAAATGTGGCTGGTTGGACAAGTCTTTTTTCAGATCGTTCTTAGGTTAAAGTTAAAGAAGTCGAAAGTCGAAGTTATTTTATATAAGTGACAGAAAAGTTGAATCTAGATCCAGTAAATTTCATCCAAATATGCACGTAAAATTGGCCTCTTCATGACAAACAGGAAGAAAGGGGTAGATTTGAGGTGATAATCCAAGAAGGGAAACTGGTCTATAAGGCAACTGGCATTCCTGTCCATGAAACTTATTCTCCTACATTCTTGTTTGTAATGGATCCAAATGGGATATATGCTGCTGAGGTAGGCATCCCTATTATTCTATACAAATTCGTCTCTTCCTTCCAGAAAAAAGATGGTTACCAGCAAGACTCCTTGCATACATTCAACATTCCTGCTGCTCTTATGGCTCCAGCTGCTACAAAACTTGAATGATAAAGGCAAGAGATTTTTTATTTTCAAATGATTGTGACCAAAGGTATATATATTGTTTCAGAGTGAACAATTCCAATGGACATTATAAACCAAATTCCTCAACCTTGCACAACTTCCTTGACAAGTTGAGCAAAAGAGGTGTTAATACATCTTTAGTGAAAATTTCTACTTTAAGCTAAAAAAAATTTCTATCCAATTTGCCAATTTACTTTGTATATTCGACTACCTCTACTTTGGCTTCAATTAATTTCCCTTCCCAAGGTTCCATCAGTTCTTAAAACATGACTGTTGAATTGAAAAAGCATATTCTAGCATATATTCTTACTACTTACCCTACTTGGATTTAGCTAATTAGCCATCTATTCAGGGATTACAATTAGGCTAAATAGATTTAAACTAAGCAGTATATTCTATGAAACTATTTGAAATAGGGAATATCCATGCCCTACTTTAGGAACTCACTTTTTTCTTTTTCTTTTTCTTTATCTTTATTAAATATATTTATAATAAAAATTTAATAGAAAACTTTAAAAATATTATAATATTTTTATAAAAAATATTTTTTAACAAAAGACACAAATTTCTTATATATTAGAGCTAATTAAGTATAGACTTATGAAAATATTATTGTTTTTATTTTTATATTTTCTATTTTTAATTAAAAATATAGTTTATGGAAGAGCAACTGTAGAATGGGGTAATAATAACACACTCACTGAAAATGAAATTAACCTTATAATTAATAATGGATTCTTAGATCTTTTAACTCACATTAAAAATTATCATTCATATTCAAGAAATTTTAAGAATTTAACTGTTTTAAATATTGGCAGGGGTGTATTTGCTGTAAGAATTGAGCGTGTGGATGGAGAGCCACCATATTGTTCAACTGGTCAAACTGAAAATACAATTATTGGTATGAGAATCAAAGAAGCTGTTAGATACTTAGTCAATACATATAATGCTACAATGATTGCAGCAAAATCTGATGTATGCAAGATTATATCTCAAAATTATATAATTCAATATTCAGTTGTGTTTTGGTGGAGACTAACCTTAAGTAAAGTTAATAGTTTGTTTACATCTTATCTTTCATATGATAATTGTGATACTACCTTAACTACTTTAAATGCTGGTTTTTCAGACCATGTGTTATATACAGGCCAATTTTTGGTATCCCCAAATCGCAAAAATGTATTATTAATAGAAATAAATTGTAAAGTTTCACTTTATTCAGGAAAAAATTTATTATGGAGATCTGATATCACATTTGATTTTATTGGTCAATGTAAGCTTGATCTTCAAAAAGATGGGAATTTGGTATTATATACTGATAAGAAAATAAAAATGTGGTCAATTGATCATTATTGTTATAATCAACCAGATTGTATACTTCTTACTTATCTTAGTTTATTAAATAATTGCAACTTAGTAATTTATGAGGCTAATAGTCCAAATGCTATTTGGTGGGAAACAAAAACTACTAATCATTTCGGTTGTTTAAAATAATACTTAAGATTTATATTAGTCATGTAAAACTTTATTAAGCGCAATTTAATTTACAATAGTTTAGTATCCAAATGAAAATTAGAGGGACCAAGAGTGAATTAAATTGCATGCAAGGTCTTTTCTCTTTTGTTGTGCTCTGAGTGGAATATTATATTCAGATCTAATGCTTCCATCATTCCTTGCCATGTAGAACCATCCAACTTAAAATTTGATACTTCCATCATGTTTTACCAAATCTCTATTAGAGTGAGTGAAAGGCGTCAAAATCATAATTGAAACTTTTATTAAATTTTTTTGAAATTCTTTGTTTAAGCTATTGTTAAATAGCTTTATTTAATTATAGTTTCTTTTTATTGAGCATGAAAAGCATGATAAAATTTAACTATAATACGGTTAACCAAGGACAATATGGTACGGAAAAGAAAAAGAAAAAGAAATGTTTAAAATATTATGTTATTATCTTGGTATTTTCTTCATGTCTGAAGATTGTTTTTAATATGCAGAGTCCAAGTGACAAGAGTTAGTTCATTGATACTACAAGCTTTAGCCAGTTTGCCTATGAAATTTGCTATATCACATCAACCTTAGAACGAGCTTTCATAACCAAAGAGCTGTCTACTCACACAAGGTAACTGTGCTTGAGTTCCTAATATGTGCAAGAATGCAAAATATAAATGAGGGAGCAAGCATCATCTTTACAGTGGCACTATCATTGTTTTAGGTAATCAGGAAATGAGAGAAGATCATCTTCTATGCACTTGTTGGTTATGAGGCTTTACAACCTTCTTAAGGTGTTTGATGGCTGTTTTTTATTGTTTCCTTGTAACTCCATGGTAATAATGTAGCTGCTTTCGAAGGATTGGGTTTAATGACAAGTTACACCATTAAGGATTGGTTGTTGCAGCCGAGCTACAACGAAACTTATGACAATTTTAAACATCTTTTCAAAAACTTGGTTAAAACATATTTAACTTTAGATGAGCTTTGGTGTAGAAGTTTTGGCTAAACCACCCTAAGTTTCTTCACAGCTGGATGGCTAGAGTGTGGAGTGCTTCTCTTCCCTCCACAACAACTTGTGATATTGGCAGTAGCCCGTGTGGTGCTACAGTTCTCTAGAATCCAAGGATGATTGATCACTTGATCTAGTGCCAATCTCTTCCTGGGATCCAAGTCCAGCATGCCCATAATCAGATGTTTCGCCTCTGGTGACAGATTGGCAGGCCACTGGAACTCCCCCTCGCGCAGCAAATCCATCTCCAGGTTCGATCGGTTGTAGCCCTTGAGGAGTTCGTATGCGATCACTCCAAGCCCCCAAACATCCACCGCCTTCGTGTAAAACAGCCCATATCTCTCGACAAAGATAAGCTCGGGAGCCATGTACTTCTCAGTCCCGCAGCTCTGGCTCATCTCTCTGGCATCGTCGGTCGCCACTCCAAAATCCCCAATCACTGGCCTGATCGTGCTTGCATCTTGCAGCTTGGTGAAAACGTTCTCCAGCTTGAGATCGCGATGGACAATACCACTCGAGTGGACGCCCTTGAGCGTCTCAGCGAGCTCCTTAACGATCTCGGCTACCTCCTCCTCACTCAGTGGCCCTTTCATCGCTAGATCGCGCAGGCTAGGGCCACAAAGTTCCATGACCATCGTCCCAAAGCAACGCCCGCCAACCTTCCTCTCCCTCCTCAGCCCATGGAGGAAGACAACTCCAGGAATGGGGCGAAGCTTGTCCAAGATCCTTGTCTCCCTCTCGGCACAACTCTCCGACTTAAACATCTTTCCTGCGTACCTATGGCGGTGGCGGGCTGCGTCGCTCAGCAAGTAGACTTGGCCCTGTCCTCCATGCCCCAACTTCTCGTGTCTAATGTACCACTTGAGAAGCTCGCCACACTCGTCATCTCTAAACTCGCCATCCTCGAGCGCCATCACGTCTTCCCCTTTTTCTCGCTTGGTTTTAAGAAAACCTAGCTTCCCACAGGTTTAATGATCGCGAAAAGGCCATTACTTTTATTAAACTAAAAACTTCACCAGTAAAAAACTGACCATTGTAAAAGACCATTTTAAGATCCAATGGCTAATATTTTTTGGTTTGCTTAAGGGAAGGGGAGTTAAGATGGTAGTGAATATACTTAAAATATGCTTGAAAATTTAAAATATTCTACCATCTAACGGTTCTTATTCATTTAGATTAATTTTGTATTTATAATTTTAAAACATGTTTATACTTTCTTAAACACTTTCTAGTATATTCTATTTTATTCTACCGGTTGGTATTGCAATAAAATTAATCTTGTGTTTATAAATTACAAACATGCTTATAATTATAAATTTTTATTTGATCAATTAGATTAATAATTAAGAATAACACTACTATTAAGCAAACAAACTCGTAACAAATTATTATTACTTAGAATAATTTATATGGAATTAAAGGTGATCGCTATTTTATAATTACCCTCCAGGGTTGACCAGCGCGTTGTTTGATGCAGTCGGAGTTTTACGTGTACATGCAAACCAGCCAAGCACGGAAGCTTCACGAGCAGAGTTATGACTATGCGCACGATCATTCCCTTCGTGAAGAATGGAGAGAGTCGCGAAAATGGCGTCTTACTCCAACCCAAAATCCATCGCTCTGATTACCACTGGTCTCTTCTTCCTCTACGTTTTGCTGTCTCAGAATCACTTTCCGGACAAGATCGTGGAAGATCTCATCGTTCCAGAGCAAGGCGATGCTCGCCAGTGCCGGAGCCGCGTAGAGTTCCAGTCCTATCGCCGCAAATCGACAGACCCATCGGCGGAAAGCTACTCGCCATCGCCAGCTCTCATCCACCGCCTGCGACGCTACGAGCAAATCCACGCCCGGTGCTCTCGATTGATCCGAGATGATCCAAACGGCGATCACGGCGACTGCCAATTCGTGGTGTGGATCGCGCCATTTGGATCGCAGGGCCTGGGGAACAAGATGCTGGCGATTGCTTCCACTTTTCTCTATGCTCTGCTCACGAACAGAGTTTTACTCATCGCGAGAGATTCGTCCGCAGAGAACATGGATCGATTGTTCTGCGAGCCATTCCCAAAGAGTTCCTGGCTCCTTCCCAGACCTCTGGAGATCCGATTATCCACAGTCAACGATTCATCGCGGATCGGCCAAGCCCCGGATCTAAAAATCACTCCTCAGCACTGTCACGATTTCGCGAGCTCGATCAAGTTTCCAGATGTGGCCTACTCGTATCTGTCCGTGGACTACACCCCGGACGATCGAAAATTCTTCTGCAAGGAGCAGCAAAAACTCTTGCAATCGCAGGTAACGTGGCTGTTTCTCCGGTCAAACGTCTACTTTGCTCCGGGATTGTTCTTGGTGGAATCCTTCCGGAGTGATCTCGCGAAGCTCTTCCCCCAGCAGCAGGCGATCTTCCACCACTTGAGCCGCTATCTCTTCCATCCCATCGATCCGGTGTGGGATCGCACAGCGCGGTTCTACGACTCATATCTCGCGCGCGCCGACCGCGTAGTCGGCATCCAAATGAGAGTTCCTCCACACTTGCAAGGAGTTCGTCAAAACCTGGCGGCGGAGGTGTTCCAATGCGCCGTGGAGACAAAGATCCTTCCCAATATCAGCAAGAACAACGTCGAGAGGATCAAGCTCCGCTCCTCGATCAGCTCGCAGCAGCAGCAGATCGCGGCGGTGGTGACTTCGCTGGATGAGCACCACTTTGACGTGCTGCGAGAGATCTACCTCAACTCCTCCACCGCCGATGGATCGATCGTGAGAGTGGAGCAGCCCAGCCACGAGGGGCAGCAGCACACCGGATTTCTCGATCACGATGAGAAGGCTCTCGCGGAGATTTACTTGCTGGGGCTCAGCGATGTGCTGATCACGAGTCCTGGCTCCACTTTCGGCTACATTGGCCAGGGATTAGCCGGGTTGAGGCCTTGGCTTATGTGGGCTGGGCCTGGCTCAGGCAGGGACATTTGCTCCAAGGCAAGAACTATGGATCCTTGCTTCTTTTCGTTTGGGGAGTCTAACTGCGATTGTGGAGAGGCTGTCAAGCTTGACAATGTGGAGCGGTGTCAAGATTGGCCTATAGCGCCTGGTGTTCAACTCAAAACAACTTGAATCTTTATCCATTCTTTTTAGGACATGTAGAGAGTTCTATTGTGTCTTCCAATGTGGACCATTTTTGTATGAATTGTTTGATATGCAACTAATTTCAAGGAAGTTATCTTTCTTTGACGTGGTTCTGCCTCCCATTCAACGAGCTTGGATGTTACAAAAAGGAATCCACGACTAAGATGTGCGAGGATAAATTCTAGAACAAGAAATGACATAGCAAAGTCATATCAAGATGTTTAGTGATTCACGTCGTGAAGCCCGCCACTTTGATACGCTCATAGGCACCCACGATCGTTAAAAAATTATACAAGATGTTACAAACAAACATTTCTTCTTTCCATGATGTAAGTTGTTATCAAACTCCTGGTGACAAGTTTTCGTGTATGAATGCCGGACTTGGCAGTGCCTAGCCTGCAAGAATGCATCGCGCTGATAACTTCTTCCAGGAGCCTGTCTCAAGCCAAGCAGATCCACAGTCGGGTTTCTTCCAGCAGCCACCGAGGGACTTATCTTTCGAATCTTCTCATTCAAATGTATGGGAGATGTGGAAGTGTGGCCGATGCTCGCTCAGTCTTCGATGCTGTGGTCGCCAAGAACTCCTTCACTTGGAACTTGATGCTGTCAGCATATGCCAGGAACGGGCATTTGCAGAGGGCTAAAGAGGTTTACGACTCCATGCCTGGGAAGGACTTGGTTTCATGCAATGGAATGCTTGCTGCGTACTCGCAGGCCGGGAAACTGGGTGACGCTGTCGAGTTTTTTCGAACGATGCAAGAGAAGGATTTGGTGTCGTGGAACACCGTTCTTGCAGCTTTTACGAGGGCCAGAGATTTGAGAGGAGCCAGGAAGATTTTCAGCGACATGCCGAGGAAGAATCTAGTTTCGTGGAATACAATGCTGGCCGCTATATCACAAAATGAAGAGATTGAGGTGTTGGAGATGTTTTTTGATGGAATGGAAGAAAAAGACGTGGTTTCTCACAATACGATGATCAATGCATATGGCAAAGCTGGGCATATTGAGAAAGCGAGAAAGATATTTGATTACTTGCAAGAGAAAAAATTGGTTTCCTGGAATTCAATGCTATCAGTCTACTCACATCATGGTCTACTTGACGAAGCAAGACTTGTGTTTGAAGAAATGCCTGAGCGAGACAAAATTTCTTGGAACTCTATGCTAGCAGCATATATTCAAAGCGGAAATTTGCGAGAAGCGTTGTCATTGTTAGAAAGGATGCCAAGAAAAAATTTGGTGTCATACAATTTAATTCTAAGCGCTTTAGCCGCTCAAGGTCTCTTTGACGAAGCAAAGGCATTCTTTGCTACAATTCCCAATCCAAGCATTATCTCGTGGAATACACTCCTTGCTGCATATACTCCAATTGGGCATCTTGACGAGATCATCAAGCTCTACGACCAAATTCCAGACAAGGATGTAGTCTCAGACACGGCACTCTTGAATGCCTTTGCTGAAAATGGGAAACTTGAGCAAGCAAAGATGGTATTTGATGCAATGGAGGAATGGGACCTTGTGTCAATGAATGCAATGCTAGCGGCATTTTGTGACAATGGGAGCTCGTTCAATGCCAAGGAGATGCTCAGTTGGATGTGTTCTCGGAATCTTAGCTCTTGGAACTGCGTTCTCCGATCATTTGCTCTTGATGGGGATCTTGACGAGACAAAGAGGTTATTTGACAAAATGCCCGAGTGGGACCAAATGTCTTACAATTTCATGCTTGCGGCATATGTCTCAGGCGGGCATCATGATCTTGCTAAAGTAATGTACGAAACACTACTGCCTGAGAAAGATTCCTTTACACACGTAGCCATGCTAAGTGCCTACACTGTACAGGGCAAGGTTGACGATGCAAAGCTTTTGTTTGATAGCATGCCATACAGGTCTCTTTTCATTTGGAACTCTATGCTTTCGGCATATGCCCAAAACGGTCATCCGGACAATGCAAAAAATCATTTTGATACCATGCCCGAGTGGGACATTGTTTCTTGGACCTCTTTATTATATTCCAGAAACTATCAAGGAAATGTGGAGGAAGCGAAGGAGTTGTTTGAGAGGATGCCTGAGCGAGATCTAATTGCATGGAATGCTATGTTGTCAGGACATTCCCAACACAGGCATTTAGAAGACTCAAAGTGCCTGTTTGATTTGATGCCTTCCCACAATATTGTCTCTTACAACACTCTGATGGCAGCTTACTCTCAGCATGGATACATCGAGGATGCCCTCTTGGTCTTCCAGAAAATGAGACACAGGAACTCTATTTCGTGGAACACTCTACTTGTGTCATATGCTCAAAATGGGCATACGAATACTGCAAAGGCGTTTTTCTCAACCTTGCCCGAGCAAAATCTGGTTTCTTGGAATGTAGTAATTGGAATGTATGCTTTAAATGGGCAAACTGCACAATCCTTGGAGCTCTTTAGAAACTGTGTTGCTGACGGTGTCAAGCTGGATGATGTATCTTTTACCTCTGCACTGATTGCTTTGAGCCATAGTGGTGAGGTTGACGATTCCCTTTTTCTCTTTAAATCGATGATAATAGACTACTTAGTAACGCCTGGCAAGCAACAATATGGTTGTATCATCTCCTTGTTTGCTCGTGGAGGATATGATAGATCCTGTAAAGAACTCATTGATACAATGCCTTTCTTTCCTGATACTCACGACTGGACGTGCCTGGCAAGTGCCAATAGAATCTACAAATCTATGGGGCATCACAATACACGAAAAACAAATGCCAGTTAGCAGAAGCATCTCGCATGCTTGGTAACAGAGCAAGCTTAGACTTGGTTGAAAGGTACCTGGGATGTAAGTCATGTCCAACTTCGCCATGTCCTTGTCGGTCTCGCATTCCCCACTAGGCTGGAGCTTGTGTCACTGAGCCCTCTCTCACACTCGAGCCACCTCTTCATGCCGCGAAAAATTCCTCACGACTTTGTTCTTCGCACGATCATCGACTGCTCCTACTCTCTCACATGCTTCTCCGGTTCCGGACGGCATTTATTACGAGCATAGCAATGTGGTCTTGGTTTACAATTTTGCAGCAATCTCGCGAGCGCATGACGAAGTAGTGCACGAGAGCCTCTTCTTGTGCTGTCAACTCTGATATCCTGGATGGTTGATTCTTGGACCTCGGACGTCCGAGAAAACAGCAAGCTGCATATTTCTCAAGTGATGACGTCGAATCAGATCCACAACTCTTTGTTTACCTCGCTGAATCCCCCACCCTTGTAGCGGAAGGTGGTCGCGCCCCGTTTGTCAACATACCATCATTTTCGTTCTCTCTTTCTTTTTTCTTCGTCCCTGCGGTGCTGCTGCTGCTGCTTGCTCGAAGTACCAGCTGCCGATGCCACTGCGCACATTCCCCCACACGCTTCAAACTCTGGCTTGATCTCTAGCTTCACTTTCTCTATAACGAGCAAGGTCGGGTTTGCACTCGTACGCCGCCAGACCCTCGCACCACTAAGTAGAATCTTGCGTAGGGAACCAGATGGTTTTCAGACTCATGAAGCTCCTCGCTTCCATCAACAAAGAAGTGGAACTTCTCAGCTCTTGGCTCCTGCGCTCCTCGGCAAACTACACTGCCTCTTCCATGGAACCGATCTTCTGGATGGGCGATTGCACGGATTGCAAATCACTGTATCCCAGAACCTCGTCGAACAGAATAGAGTTGCTTATCCAAGAGTATGCTCCCGATTCTTGCGATAAATGGCTGTAACTTCAGTGGTTAATAAGAGTTCAGCCAATCTTTCCTTGATGCCATCTGGTGGAAACTGCAAGCCACTGCTCTAAAATCAACTTACTCACGCTCTTGGAACCGTAAATGAGATGGTGTACCAAAAATCGCAGACATACCTGCTCACAGTTGCTCTTATGCCTGGAGGCGGCCTTAAACTCAGGCGGCCCATTCCAACGTATCTTTGTGGACTTGGTTCACTGGCATAATTGTATCACTTCGTAATCTCTCTTGAAACCGCCAAGGCGCATTAGGGTTTTAGAATTCTGGACATGTTTTCTCTGGATGCATTGCTGGAAAGAGGAGTGTGGCTTCTGGAAACGCCTTGCAGCAGGATTGACACTGTTGGGTTTGCTTTGAAAGGTCGTGAGTCCAACTTTCAAGACTTGAGCAAGTTTGATTTCTGCAAAAACGTGACAAGCAAGACGGAGAAGGAGCCGCACAAGTTCCGTGTGATTCGAGACGACCTGCTGCACCCGACGCTCGGTGGAAACAAAATCAGAAAGCTCGACGCTGTGGTCCCGTTCCTCAAGGACGAGGAAATCACTGACGTGGTACGTACTCTGCTTGTTTTTTGTTCTTTCTTTTCTTCCTTTGAAGCGATTTCAATGTCTATCAGGTGACTTGTGGAGGCTGTCAAAGTGCTCATGCTGCTGCTGTAGGTATGAAAAAGAGACTTTAAGAATTCTCTAGTTTTATACTTCTTCTTTTCTATCTAACGTGTTTTCTCAGCTCAGCTGTGGCGTGTGCTGACCATGGGATGTCGGCTCATTTGCTGCTACGAGGTGAAAAACTTGAAGTCACGACTGGATATAACTTGATATCGGAGGTTTATGGAAACGTGGTGTATGTTCCAAGAACCGAGTATGCCGATCGACAAAAAATGTTAAGCTCGCATATGGAACGTGTTGCTTGTCCTGAAGAACCAGTTCTTTGGTTGAATGGCAACTCTATCACCAGAGAAACAATCACTCCTTCAGAAAGTTCTAGATTGCTTGAACCCGGAAGAGGAAGAAGAAAATGGGCCGTGCTTGGAGAAGGTGGTGCGAGTGGTCTAGCACTCCTCGGTGAGTGATTTTCAACCTTGATATGTTTGTATCTCTAATCTTTTTCGTGCGATCTATGATCAGGCTTTATAAGACTTGTGAGATGGCTAAGCGAAAACGAAGTCTTCGAACGAGAGGACAAGATCAAAATCGTGGTCGATTCTGGCACTGGAACATCCGCCATTGGCTTGGCTCTAGGAATCGCGTTGCTCGGGTATGCTCGAGTTTAAATCCTTTTGGTGGTATATATCCTTTCTTCCAGCCTTCACCAGTGGGAGATTGTTGGTGTAATGCTCTCCGGTTCTCGCGACTACTACGAGAGACAAACGAAGAACCTTGTCACTGGTTTTCTTCAGCAGTTTCGCTGCGATCAGTCGGCAGAGGCTTTGAGCCTACCTCTTGTTTGGGAGGAGAGGAAACGAGTACGCAGGTATGACTTATATATAAGCTTGCGAGCTACAGTATAATAGTATGATAGCACAGGTTTGGAAAGATTTTTGAAGGGGAGATCGGTGCTTGCAAGAGTATAGCCCGACAAACTGGCATTTTGCTAGACCCGATTTACACACTCGCCGCGTGGGAAGTCGCGATAGAGTTGTCTTGGAACGAAACAGGAGACAAAGTCGCTATTCTTCACACTGGTGGGGCACTGGGCCTCTTTGGCCTGGCACAGACAAATCCGCAGGAATTCTCTCAAACTCGTGAATACGCTCCTCCGAGGTACGCAGAAATGATTCTTTTTCTTTGTTTTTTAAGGATTCTGTGTCTAGTGGTCCTGTCTTTCAGCAGTTTTCTCTCGCGAGGCACACTAAATCTGGCCGAAGTTGACAATTCGAAGGATCTCCGGATCATAGAAGGTGGGTGTGGGAAAGTGGCAAGAAACTAATGGGAAAAAGTTGCGGCTGTGGCGTTCTCCATTCTCCATGAACAAGACCCCGGTTCCAACTGCAAGTCAAGACCAGTAACAGCTTCCGGGCCGAGCTTGGAGGGCTGGAATGAACCCAAGCAAGACAAACCAAAGAAAGCAGCAAAAATATCCCACCAGTTTCAAGGTTTGGACCACTGCGTGGTCAATCAAGAAGCGCAAGAGCATTGGCAACCTGCGAGTACCTCAGATGAGCTTGCCATCGTTGAGCCTGCGCACCTGATGGCCTGATGCCTTCGTGGGCATCACGACTCGCGACTTTAAGCAGCTCAAGAAGAAAAAGCAGGCAAGGTTTCGTTTTTCTGGGATGGTAAGTCTTAGGCGCTGATGGTGTAGCCATGGCGAGAGTTTTCATAGCGATGGTTCTCCTGGTTTTTGGTCTCGGGATTGGTAGCATCAGCTGCGACAGCGACGAAGAAGTGCTGCTAGCTTTGAAGCAGGGTCTACTCGATGGCAGTGGGGCGATGAGGAACTGGATCGCAGGGACTGGGTTTTGCAACTGGACAGGGATTCAGTGTGACCAACAAGATCATGTCGAGTCCATCATCTTGCCAAACAGGCTCCTCCAGGGAAGTCTTACCTTGGAGCTGGGAAGGCTCCAGCATCTCAAAGTTCTCAATTTGGAGCTCAATAACTTGACCGGGAGCATTCCACAAACTCTGGAGAATTGCTCGTCGCTGGCAAACATCTCGCTCGGATCAAACCAGCTGAGTGGTAGGATTCCTCTTCACTTGGACAGGCTTCCTGGGCTTCAAAGGCTTGACCTGTGGAACAATCTCCTCCAAGGACCCATCCCGGCCTCGCTAGGAAACGCTACCAGGATCGACTATTTCAGCCTCGGCCAAAACTTTCTCTCCGGGGCTATCCCTCCGGAGCTCGGTCGGCTTTCCAGGTTGCAAATCCTTCGGCTCTTCACGAACAACTTTGTTGGATCCTTCCCGGTTTTCTTCACGAACTGTACAAACCTTCAGATCATGAGCATCAGGAACAATTCTCTCACCGGTTTCATACCACCCGAGCTCGATCGGCTTGTTCTTCTCCAGCAACTTCGCATCCAGTCCAACCTTTTCGAAGGCTCCATTCCTCCCCACATTGGCAACATGACCAGCCTTTACTACATCGACATCTCCAGCAACAGGCTCTCGGGAAACATTCCAAGAGCTCTCGGCTCGCTCGCAAACTTACAGGAGCTCTATCTCAACAACAACACTCTCTCGGGAAGGATTCCGGAAGAAATGATCGGATGCCGAAGCCTGGGAACTCTAGACTTGTCACACAACCAGCTCGAGGGTCCTCTTCCACAAAACATTGGTAGCTTTGGCCTGACCAACTTAACTTTGGATCACAACATCATCTCCGGGAGCATACCACCAAGTTTTGGAAATTTGAGGCTCATCAACTTGGATCTCTCGCACAACCGCTTAAGTGGCAGCTTGCCTTCCACTCTTGCCAGCCTCAAGAACATCCAGCTCGCGTTTAACTTGGCATATAATTCCCTCAGCGGCAGGATACCAGCTTGGCTTGGCGATTTCCAGGTGGTGCAAAACATCTCTCTCCAGGGGAACAACTTCTCCGGGGAGATCCCCGAGAGCTTGGGCGATTGCGTGGGCTTGCAGTCACTGGACCTCTCGTTGAATCGGCTCACAGGCTCCATCCCAAGCTCGCTCGGATCGCTAAGGTTTTTGGTCTCGTTAAATCTCTCCATGAACGACCTCGAAGGTCGTGTTCCCGACGAAGGCTCTCTAAAGTCGTTCACGGAAGAATCGTTTGCTGGAAACGCACGACTGTGTGGAGCCCCAGTTAACAGGACGTGTGATTCCAGAGAAGCTGGTGGTAACAAGGCAAGGATCATCATCATTTCGGCTTCCATTGGTGGTTCGTGCTTCGTGGTGATTTTGGTCGCGACTTGGTTGACACTACGTTGCTGTTTCTCTCGAGATAATCCAGTCGCTATGGCAGAGGGAGATGATCACGCCGAAGAGCTACGAGAATATGCCGGGCCACTTATGTCCTTCACAGCCGAGGAACTTCGAAACATCACGGATGATTTCTCCCAGGAAAATCTCATCGGTGTTGGTGGCTTCTGCCGCGTCTACAAAGCCAAACTCAACAAAGAGTTTGTAGCAGTCAAGCTCTTACGGCTCGACATGGCTGGTAACGAAGTGAGCAAAAGTTTCTTCGCGGAAGTGAAGATTCTTAGCCAAGTGAGACACAGGAACCTTGTTCGATTGCTGGGACATTGCTGGTCGAGCCAGGCCAAAGCTCTCGTTCTCGAGTTTCTACCCAATGGAAGCCTTGAGCAGCATCTTAAAGGTGGCACGCTTGACTGGGAGACGAGGTTTTCTATCGCTCTCGGCGTGGCAAACGGGATGGTTTACTTGCACCAAGAGTTTGATTCACCGATCATACATTGCGATCTAAAGCCGGCCAATGTTCTCTTGGATCTGGACTTCCAGCCCCACGTCACAGACTTTGGCATCTCAAGGATCGCTCAACCGGACGAGCATGCAACGATCAGTGCTTTTAGAGGCTCCATTGGTTATACTCCACCTGGTATGTCCTATATCAAACTTGTATCGATATCCATTGTCCTGACAATGTGTTGTTTCTGTGTCATTTTCCAAGAATATGGAAACTCCGCGAGCATTACCACCAAAGGTGATGTTTACAGCTATGGGATTCTCTTGCTGGAGCTAGTAACAGGCAAGTCTCCGACGAGTGGAATGTTTGGAATCACTTCCACACTTCAAGAGTGGGTTCAAGACTCGTTCCCTTTGGCAGTCTCCAAGATTGTTGATCCTAGGCTTGGATCACAGTCGCAATATTATGAGCTCGAGATCCTGGAGGTGATCAGGGTGGCCTTGCTATGCACTTCGTTTCTTCCAGCAATGAGACCATCAATGCGACAAGTTCTAAATTCCATCGTGAAGCTCAGATGTGACCAGCAACCCAAGCCTATAGGATCACTCATTTCCTCTCCAAGTCCATATACATTTTTCGGAAGACAAAACTCTAGCTAATGAACAGAAACCGAGGAAAAACTCCATACCTTAATGAGAGTGACAGAAAATGCACGCCAGGTTTTCGATCGAATCCTTCTCCTTGTCCACGAATACTTCTCCTCATTTTTTCCGATCAGAGCCCTCTTGGCCGCATTTCTAGCAGTGAATCCCATAGAACCCAATCTTACCGGAGCTATTAGCTTATAGGTGCTTAGAACTTTAAACTGCTATTTGTTAAAAGACAACCGATCTTAGCTCAGTTGGTAGAGCGGAGGACTGTAGTGCTTGCTGTTGAGAGATCCTTAGGTCGCTGGTTCGATTCCGGCAGATCGGAAATTTCTAGTGATATATTAACCAACCAAAGGAATTTAAGACCTTTTATCGCTCTTCCTTCTTCGTTTCTTTGGACGACCATCTTCGACTGGACTTGATTGTCTCGAGTGAGCATGATCCAGTCTATTCTCAACGCGAATGCTGGGAAACGCAGCTTCAAGGGCACCAAAGAATCTTTTCCATCCCACGTAAACACCCTCGATCACCATCGCAGTGATGTCCCTTGGGACTTCATCGACCGAGCCCTGAGCAATCCGGAAACATTCCAGGTAGTCATCCCTGTCCACGAAATCGGGAGCCTTTCGCCAGCTTCCTCCAGCCTTGTCAACCAGAAGAACATTGGGAGAAACCATCGTCACACTCTGCAAGATGTGTGCCAGCATGATCCTTCCAGTTCTCCCGTTTCCATCCACAAAGGGATGGATGCTCTCGTACTGGAAGAAGAACCTCCCGCCGAGTTTCAGTAGCTTCGTGATTTTGTCTTCCTGTGATCTGCTGCCACTGAGAATTTTGCTGAGATCTCTGCTCGTCTTCCTCATGAGACCCCTGAGCGCTGAATCGATTCTCTCGGGTTTCATGAAGAAATGCTTGCCGTCTTTGGTGTCTACATAGACAACCTCGGATAAGTTCCTCAATCTCCCCGCGATGCTGGGACGAGTGAAACAAAACATCGACTTGTGAGACTCGAGAAGCAAACCAATCCATCCGCTCCCAAATTTCTCCTCGCCTGGTCGAAAGAACCATGGAACCAGTGCTTGATTCAGCCCCCAGACGTTCTTGATTCTCTCGTCACAGTCGTCGTGCATCTCCATATCCAGGACTCCATCCTTGTGAATTGCTTGTTGGGTCTCCTCCAAGGTATCAAAGCCTTCGCCCTCGATCTTGTTCACCTGAAAGAGCCATTCTGTGGTGGCTCGAGGTGAGTAAACCTTCGCTGCCCAATCCTTTTCTGGAGCTCCTAGGTTCTCGTACCTTGAGCACATTCGCGTAATCTCTTCCACCATAGCGCTTGTGCTCATCCCCTTTTGCCGCCAGAAAGGCTTCTCTCTGTACTCCTCCATAGCAGACCTAATTGCGTTGCCCTTATTTTGCCAGCTTTTTATAGTTCAAAAGGTTAAAAGTGGAGAATTCCTAATTACATTTTATTACATAAACAATGGTTTCTCCCATTCTTCTTTTGGTTGGTGCCCTTTATGCTCATTCCATGGACTGGGTAATGTCAGGAGCTAGATCTGCTTGTCACAAAAAGATGATCATTTAATAAACATAGAAGGAAGAATAATCAAAAGTAGTAACCTATATAAAAGTTTTTTTTCCCATATAAATGTCAAGTGAGAGCAGGCAAGAATTTATAAAATTTATTGGTTCATTGGGGAAATATATAAATTTTTGATCTGTCAGTTCTTAAAGGTATCTGAAGAATCAACTTAGATAAAGATAACAAAAAGCAAATTAAATGTAGATAATAGTTTCACAAAATTTCCAATAAAAATGAGATAATCTAATCCACAAAAAGGATCTATCATAGGTGTTATAGGTAAATTTTAATTATCATTTAGATAATAAGATTACTGTGGGAGAAATATTGTTATTGATGTTCTTTAAAAAATATTATATTTTTTGAATTTGTCTTAAAAAATACATTAGTTTAATAACTTATTAACTAGTTTTTATATCATGAATAAAATATCTTTAATCTATTATCATAAAATATATTCAATTTAGCTATTATTCTAGAATTTTAGAAAAATTTAATTTGCCTTTGCCAATTCAAAAGTTTAAAATGCTCATGTATCTATATAAACTAGTAATATAGAAAAAGTAATTGTATAAGGATTTAGTATCTTTTTACTTAATGTACCTTTATAATTTTTTAATTTTTTGTGGAAGACTATATCTTTTAAAAATATTCCAGATTATTATTTTAAAAACTCATATGATATAATGAATAGTTAGAAAAGAATGATTTTAAAAAAAGTTCAGCTGAAACTCATTGCCTAAAATATTGACACTTCACAAAGGTTTTTAAAATTTTTTTAATAAAGAACATAAAAGTTAATTAGAAATTTTGATTATTGAGTTTTTCTGTTTAATAATTATTTATATTTTATTAATATAGGAAAATAGTTATTGACATCAAAACATTAATAAAAGTTTACAATAGATTTTAAAGAGGAAAAAAATATAAAATACTTTAATCTATTATGTTCACTAATTCGAAGAAAGCCCACAAGACAAAATAATGTTCACCACGGCTCTGGAACTAAAACAAACATCAAGTAATATAGATAATATATTTTTAAAAAGTATTATTATTTTTATTCAAAAGAGATGTTAATACTAATATTCATATTCCATGAGATAATATTCATCAAATTGAAAAACATTAATTTCAATTACATTTTTTTTGGAAGATCTTTTAGAAAAAAAAGATAATTGAGAATCACATTTTTATTAGGATTGTTTATTCGTAATAAATTTAACTCACTACTCTGGAAATTAACTACATCACATAAAGTAGTATATGACAAGTTGAAATGTTCTTTACTTTGTTTTTCAGAAAATGTGAAAGTTCACACGAAAGGACAGATCTCAAAAATCCTTGAGCATCTCCTTGGTTTGCTCCAGCGTGATGAAGAGCACAACCGCAAATGGACCTTGCCGAGCAAAGCACGGAAGCAACCCCTTGTACAACGCAAGCACTCCCTCCGACCGGATCGTCTTCATGGCACAATCGATAGCATTCCTGTAAGGCGGCGTCTTCCCAAACACCACCTTCATGTTCATCACCCTCGTCTTGATCACGTCGATCGGCTCCGACACCACCGACGTGAGAAACCCCGACGTCAAGCTCGCCACCAGGTGCGTGGCGATGCCCTCGTTGGTGATCTTGTAAAACGCCAGCGTCTCCTTGACATGGTCGTAGCTCGCAAGCTGCACCGCGGTGACGATCATCGCCCTCTGGACCGTGAGAGAGGAGCCCCTCCACAGCGACAGGATCCCCTCGTTTCTCACCATCTGGGAGAGAGCGTCGAAAGCGTTCCTGTAGCTCCTGCGTTCTTTCGCCGGGAGCCTACCGTCGGCTTGCATTCTCACCATGACAACGTCCGCGGGATTTCCAGCTGCGGCACCGATCCCTCCGGCGATCAGAGCAGCAGCAACCTTCTGAAAGAGTGGAAGATCCGCACCACCTACAACTCCGCCACCCGAGCCACTATCGCCGCTCAACCTGTGCTTGAGCATGTCGTAAATCCCCAGCCTCGTCGAGGCGTATAGAGTCTGTCTCAGCATTGCCGCTGACACACCAGCGTAGAGTCCTGCAAATCCTTCTGCCCGGACGAGCTTCGCTCCCATCACGAATGGATTCATGTAGCTTTCCTGCATCTTTCCCTGTTCTCCCTGGAGCTGCATTCTGACTTTGATCAAATCTAGCGGATGCGTCGACACTCCTGCTACTACTGAAGCTATCCAGCCTTCCACAAAGCCTTTCCATCCCATTCTCTCTACGCCAACCAGAGCCCTATTTCACAACTGTCGAGACCACCTCAATGGGAAGCGTTTTTCCGTGTGGGAATCGCGAGGCCATAGATCTACGGCTGCGAAACCTTGTCAGTTTATTAAACTCAAAAAATCGTACCTTTGGTACCGCGTTACAACCCGGCCTCTTTCTGCTTGTCGTCGCTCTCGGCTGGATTCTCAAAACTCTTGCCTTCGGTGGCGGTGTTGAGGAGGTTGCCATGCTTGGGCTTGATGTGCCGGCCTGCACGAACTTTTGGTCCCCAGTTCTCTTCTGGATTGGGAAGGAACCGGGCAACGCCTTTCATTTGTGCCTTGCTTTGAGCACCACGAGCTCGAGAGAAGTCCGCCTGGAGCACACGAAGAGTTCATTAACAAAAATCTCGCTTGAGCTAAAAAATCTACGAAGCACCTGTAATTTAGCTTCCTTGCTTAAAATAATGGTTCCGGGAGTTTCTTCCTTTTGAGCTTTGACGGGGTGTTCTTTGACCTGCATACGACTTGTAAGAAACAAGAGCGAGAGAAAAGAGAGAGAGAGAGAGAGGAGCTCACCCAACAGCGCATGATATCCCATATCACTTCCATAGGCGCGTCAGTTTTGAAACCAAGAGGGGAGGCATGGGTTCCCGAGATGCGGTAGCCAGCATTCAAAACGGCAGAGCGGAAGACTATAGCCGAAGGAGGTGTACACTTGAGCGTTGCGCTCAATTCATGGATGCTCAGATAAAGTGGTACGTCTATTAATTCCTGCAAAAACACGCGCCAGTTATACTTTTGACTTCAAAAGCAAAATACTTTACCTCCGACACACTTGTTAGTATGCTATGAATTTTGTCAAACGCGGGATATCGCTTTTTTGCTTCACAAACTTGGGAAAGAATCGCGGATACCCATTCTGTGTCGTGAATAGGAGCGGCCCACATTGGTCCACCCATGTTGAAGTTTTTGCCACAGTGCTCACACTGCTGTTGTACAGTAGGCCCCAGACCAGGTAAATATCGAGTGCTGTTGTTCTTCATCACCAAAAAAAAGAAAGAAGTGTCAAATACAAAAGAATTGCGTCGATAGTACCTTCTGCACAATTCGACCCAAGGGTTGCAGGCAGAAATTGTCACATCCAACGCATTGATATACGTAAGCAAGCTTGCTGGGTGTTTGCTTCATTGCATTTGCCGATCTGTATGGTGCACAGATTCACATCAACTTAAACGATACGAGAGCTACTTACGTATATATGCGCACAAAAACTCTAATGTAAAAATCCACCGAAAGAGAAAGTACTGGTACTATATGTCTTTTGTATCTGTTGGCATGACTCTGAAGCTCAAACGTTAGAATAAAAATGTTACAAACAATAAGAAGACCACGAACCTCGATAGTCGCCAATAAAATTCGAAGAGCCATTTCATGACAATACTTTGCACGAAGAGAATAGCTCCCATACCTGTGACAACAAACATAAATACACATATATACTTGAATAAGCCCGTGAAGCATACTTGGAGTAGCAGACTTCTCCATTGTTACCACATAAGACAGCCATGTCAGTGGCAGTGCACATGAGCATGCCACCATCGGCGATTGTCTGAACCGCAGAGTCCAGAAAAATCGATGGCGAGCCGTATGGATCCAAATCAACCTGCACAGCTTTATAGAGCGCCGCATTCACCTGATGCAAAACTTACCACATCGAACTGTTTCTCATGAGTAAGCATATAAACCCGTGAATCAGCTTGCTGAGCTTCTACTTTAGATGCAGCAACAGATCCGTTCAGCTTGATATTTCTGGCGCATGCTTCCACCGCAACTGCGAAATAAAAACGCTCAAACACCTCTCATGTAGCACATAGTGGAAGCCTTACCTTTGTCACTGTCGAGCGCAAGCACGGAGGCAATACCTTCGACTTCTCGGGCATATCTCAAAGCGCGCAATCCCGAAGCTGCTAGAGCCTAGAGAGAACAAAAATTAAGAGAAAAAATAAACCAAGTCCGAGAAACAATGTACCTCGAGCACACGAATCGGCTTCGCGATGTTATTTTCAGAGCTAGAGGTCGCCTCCACTTTGGTAGAAGTTTCACCAGCACTACCATTAACTTCGACGACTTCTTCAGTCGCGGCCTTTGAATTCCTAGCTTTGATAGCAGCTTGTCTCGCAATGTGCTCCTCCTGACGCTTAGCTATAAACGATCGAAGCACCGCAATGGACATATCTCGGTTGACAACCTGGTAGAAGAACACACCGCTAAATCAAAGAAGAAAAAAAAACATATCACTTACTTGCGTCTTGTTGTAAAACACATCGTTCCCATGCTGTAGAATTTCCGCGTCGCCCTCTCGGAGAATTCGATACTCCGACACATCCACCTTGTGCTTGGTGTCCGGCGGTGCAGCTCCATTCCCATCCCTCTTGCGCTTCCCATTGTCCGCCACAGCCGGCTCTTCCATCTCGCCGCGAGAGTAAAGCCCTAGGCTTCCTTAAACCCTAAAGGAGGAACCCTAAAACAGGGCACGGTTAAGAAGATCAACGACACAGCTATAGTTTTCGAGGCTAATGAGAATACCATAGTCTGGAGCGATCGATTGTGCGATCTGGACGCCGTGATCCAGGAGACCAAAGTGGCTGCAGCAAGAGATCACGCTTGAGAAGGAGATGGAGTCTGGATTTACCCCGAGCTGCTGCATTCTCCGGAAGATCTCGAGGGTGCTATCGCCAGAGCGCCGAGATGTTGCTCCGATCAACGCATTCCACGATGATAGATTTAAATCCTCCTTCTTTCCCATGAAGTCGAAGAGGAGCGCGGCCGATTCGATGTCGCCGTTTGAGCTCAGAGTGTGGATCAGCGCGTCGCCAACGACACGATCGATCGACAAGTTCCAATCGCGAGCTACACCAAGAACAGCATGCATCGTCGTCAGTTCTTGAGACTGGAGCAAACTTACGAGCGTGATCCGGTCCGGAGCTTCGCCAAGTTGCTGCATTCTCCACAAAAGCTCCACAGCTCGATGATCGTGATGGTAGTTTTGTACAAACGCTGCGATCAAAGTGTTCCAGCTCACAATGTCCCTGTGGATCATCTCGTCAAAAACCATCACCGCGTCGTCCAAACTCTCACACTTACCATACACACTCAAGAGACTGTTCGCGATTTCCGTGTTGGATTCAAGCAGGCTCTCACGGATCCAGCCATGGATCTTCTTCGCAGCCCGGAGATTCGATGGTCCTGCCAAGAGTTTCAGAATGGCAAGAAACGTGATCCTGTTTGGAGACAAACCTTCAAGCAGCATGGCTTGGAAACACCGGAGAGCGCAGTGTTCTTCTTGCTGGAGGCCGATCATCAGATTCCATGAAACTAAGTCTCGGTTCTTCATCTCCCGGAAGATCACGCCAGCATCGTCTAGGCAGCCACACCTCGCAAACATACTGAGAAGAGCGTTAGAAACAATAGCATGGGCTTGGAAGCCACTCTCGAGAATGTGAGCGTGAAGGAGCCTACCATGGTCGATCGAAGAACACGAGCTTAAAGCCGTGACGAAAGTGATGCCATTGGGTTTGATCCCGAGCAGCTGCATCGTCTCGTATAGCTCTAGCGCGTCGCTGGAATGCCCACACCGGGCATACGACGCTAGCATGGAATTCCAAGCGGCTACCGCGGATGAATGATCGCCTTGCGCAAAAAAGATTTCTTCCGCGCGATCCACCCGGTTGAATCTGCCATACATGTGAATGAGCGCTACATAGACGAAAATATCCACCGCGAACCTGGATTCGTCGATCCAGGAGTGGATCGCTTCTCCTAGCTCGAGCCTGTGGCAGGCCTTGAGAACGATCGAAGCGGCGACTCGATCGAGCAGGATTCCTTCGCTCAGCATCCGCCTCAGCGAAAGAAACGCCGCTTCCATCTGGCCTTTCTTGGCGTGCTCCGCAAATAGACGGGTCCAGAACACGAGATTTTCTTGTGGACTGCCGATCTCATGCCCGCATTCTAGCCCAGAGGAGTGATTCAAGCGGCCGGAGGGGAGATCGCGGCCAGAATCTAGAGCTGAGAGGAATGCTACCTTGTCTGGAGTGGAGCGATCGCGGAAGAGCCTCAGCGCCCGGGCAATCTCATACCCTAGACCAGGAGCTTGGCTTTTTCCCTCCATTTTTTTCGATACTCTCAAGAACCCTAGAAATATTTGGCTATGGATGGGGTAGTAATCGGGAGTAGCGCCACGCATCTTCATTCCAAATCGGTGAGCTCCAGCTCGGGATTCCTCCGCCTAAAGCAGCAGTTAGGTCTTGCCGATTCGCCGCTCGCGGAGAACACCGACGGCTACGCATTTCTCGTCCGGAGGTGCTCGCAGGCGGGATCGCTCTCTCTCGGCCGCCAGATTCACGCGGAGTTCCTGGCCAGCGCGCTGCTGGATCGATCCCACACCTTCGTCAACAATCTCCTGGTTCACATGTATGGGAGATTTGGGAGCGTGGAAGAGGCCTGGATCGTCTTCAACGGGATTCCTCGCCGGAACGAGTTCTCGTGGAACATCATGATGGCAGCGCTTCTCCACAACAGGGATCCCTCACAGGTCTTGGATCTCTACGAGAGAATGGGCGTGGAAGGCGTCGCGATGGACAGCTTTGCATTCTCCACAGTTCTAAGCGCGTGCTCGAGCCTGGGAGATCTGGATCAAGGCAGGAAGATTCACGAACAGATCAAACTCTCCGGTCGCAAGCTCAACACCATCGTCACCACGGCTCTCTTTGACATGTATGCCAAGTGTGGTAGCCTGGAAGAAGCTAGCAGTGTTTTCTCCTCGATGCAAAGGAAGGACCGAGTGGCTTGGAACGCCATGCTTGCTGCGTATGCCGAGAACGGGCATGGCAAGGAGACACTAGAGCTCTACTGGAGAATGGACTGCGAAGGTGTGAGGCCGGATAAGTTCACTTTCTCTAGTGTTCTTGACGCTTGTGCTGATCTCGGGGCTCTCGCAGTGGGAAAATCCGTCCACCAACGAGCTACTGGCTACGACTTCGACGTGATTTTTAGCACTGCGCTGTTCAACATGTACTCCAGGTGTGGGAGCTTGGAGGACGTGAAGCTGATCTTTGAAACGCTGTCTAGAGGAGACGTTGTTTCATGGAGCGCCGTGATCTTGGCGTATGCCCGGACCGGGCATGGTCGGAAGGCACTGGAGCTGTTTCGCGACATGAATCTGGAAGGTGTGTGTCCTAACGATGTGACTCTCACCAGCATTTTGCATGCTTGCTCTCACACCGGTTTGCTGCATGATGCCAGGAGTTACTTTCTCACCATGAGCGACGACCACGGTATCAAGCAGACTCTAGAGCTCTGGGTTTGCATGGTGGATTCGTTGGGACGAGCAGGAAGGCTGAAAGACGCGGAAGAACTTGTAAGGACCATGCCGCTCTATCCGGATTTCATCGCCTGGATGACACTGCTGGGAGCTTGCAAGCTTCACAGGAACTTGGAACAGGGGCCTCGGGTCGCAGAGGAGGCACTGGAAATGCTACCGGAGAGTGCTTCTCCTTACGTGGTCCTCTTGAGCATGTACGCTCTCGCTGGCAAACACGACGAAGCCAAACGAGTGAGAAGAGCCATGGAAGAGCGGGGGATGAAAAAAGCATCCGGTCGAAGCTACATCGAAGTCGGAAACAAAGTTCACGAGTTCGTGGAAGGAGAAGCTTCTTTTCATCCAAAGACTCAGGCCATCAGAAATCTTCTTCAGGAGTTACATGACGTTAATGCTCAGGAGGAAAGTGATCCATCGTCCGACCACTCTGAGAGGCTGGCGATTGGCTTCGGACTGCTGAGTACCAAACAGGGAACGCCACTGCGAGTCGTGAGCAACCTCAGTGTGTGTCCCGACTGCCACACCGCGGTGAAGAACATCTCCAAGCTCACGAAAAGAGAGATCACTGTCCGAGACTTCAGCCGCTACCATGTCTTCCGCGATGGATCCTGTACGTGCAACGATTGCTGGTGACCACCTCCATTTTCCTCCCTCAGAATCACAGGTTTGCAAAATTATTTTTCAACTCTCTAATGCTACTAAGCTCTTTTTTTTTCCAGGACTTCGTGCAAAGCAGAACCAGCTCGTTTCTTTCTATACTTCTTTCTCTTTGTAAGGATATGTATTGTGTTTCTTCTTGATTAGTTCTAACTCTTTGCTTCTTTTCTCAAGCGTCAGGTTTGCAAGCCTTTGTTTTTTCTGCCACTTCTTTAAGGTTTGCAGAGCTCTAGTCTTAACTCTTGGTTTTCCAGGAAGCTCTCCTAGTTCGTGCAAAGAGGAACCAGCTCTCGTTTCATTTCTCCTTCGTCGTGAGGTAACCTTGCTTCCTTGCTTCAAATCAAAGTGGTGAATATTCGTGTTTCATCTGTCCAGGATTCGAACTGACCGAGTTAGGGTTGACGCAAAAAAGAGCCCTGTCTTTTGGGGTGACGTGTATGAGCGGAGGGCGGTTGGCGGCAAGGCAGCAGCGCGAAGCAAAGGTGAGCGCTTTTTCTTTTTAGCAATCGTAGCATGGCACTCTCTAAAAGTCGCGTTTTTTAGGCACATTGTGCGTGGAATGGAGAATGTAGCATGAAAGGCAGCGACACAGCCGTTTTACCCGTGCAATTTAAAAGTCTGGCTCCCAAAAGGTATGTTGAGGAAACCAGGCCTAGTCGGACACCTCCAGAACACAGGAGGGACTCATCCAGGGCCAGTTCCTTGTTTCGTAACTTTGAGAAGGAATTGGTAGACACTTCGGCTCCAAATAGCAGCAGGAGGAACTCCAGCACGAGTTCAGCCAGCAGATTTGCAGAGACGAGCCGGCCATCGGCTTCTGATCTTCACGAACTTAGATATGGAAGGAGTAGCAGCATTTCCACGCAATCCTCGACAACTCCTAAGGACGAACCAGTTTTCCCAAGCAGGACTTCAGTCAGGGCTATAGAAACCAAAGACGAAGCTGACGGATGGAATGATTTTTCATTTTCCTCCATGCCTTTGCGACAACCAGGGAAGAAACCAGGGTCTCGAGGCGGTGAAGATGAATACGAAGAAGGTGGCCGGTCAAGTAGCAGGCTGAGCAATAGTGGGGGCTGTTCGTCGTCGGGAACCGGGCTCTCACAGTCATTTACTGAGATGAACTTGCGAACGAGACAGTCCTCTTTTCAAGACTCCCGGGGAAGTAGAAGCAACAGCTTGAACAGCAGATCTTCCATTCAGGGAAGGCAAGTCGCAGGTCTAGTGGGTCTGATGAACGAGGGGAACACTTGCTTCTTAAACAGCTGCTTGCAGTGCTTGGCACACACAGTCCCGCTCTCGTCAGCAATTCTAGGACCGTTTTCGGAGTTGATCCAAACCAAAGGTGCCGCAGCGAGGAGCAGGAGAGACACGGCTAGCTTGTCCGAAATGCTGGCTTATTCTTTTCGCCAGCTTCTCAAGGACCTTTGTGGAAAACCATCGTACTCGACTGCCAGTGCGTCAATGCTTCTACAGAGCTTGCAAGGCTTGTCACCCCAGTTTGCTGGGAATCGACAACACGATGCTCAGGTACGAGATCTTCTTTCATTTGGTTTTTTGTTCCCTTCATATATCAAAATGCAATGCAGGAGGCGATGCGAACAATTATTGATGGGCTTCACGAAGCATTGAATCGAAAACCACCCGGGCGTCCAAAATGTCCAGAGCCTCCTCCCACAACACCGGAAGCCGAGATTGCAGATATTTGCTGGGAACATCACAAAATGTGGAACAACTCCGTGATTCAGGATATCTTCTGCGGTAAACTTTTTTGTTTATTTGTTTTTCTTCTTGATAGCTTACAATTTCCTGCCTGACAGGACAGCTGCAGAGTACCATAGAATGCTCGGTGTGCCACAGAAAGTCGCATTGTTTTGATCCTTTCCTGGATTTGTCACTCCCACTTTCAAAGAGCGGTGGCTCTGATAACTTCAGGAACTTCGGCAGCAGCCGCTCGAGGATGACGATCGAGGATTGTCTCTCGGCGTTTGTCGCTCCCGAGACACTGGACCCGTCCAACAAGTACTATTGTTCCGGTTGCAAGGTACGTAGAGTTCATCCTCGTTATCAAATAATAAGGGAACTTTACACAGATGCATCGTCAAAGATCTACGTCTCTTCATCCTCGTTTTCTTAACTGCAGGCTCCACAAATCTCTACCAAGAAACTCAGCATTTACAGGGCTCCTTCGGTCTTAGTCCTTCACATCAAGGTACAAGTTGGCTTATAATTTCTTCAAGCAATCTCATGGTGTTCTCTTCTCTTTTGTTTCTCAGAGATTCTATGGTGTAGAACCACGCTCCTACAGAAAGGATGACCGGCCCGTTGTGTATCCTCTCAATGGACTTGATCTTAGCAGTTTCATGAGGTAAAAATTTCATTTTTTTCGATTGGAAGACTGTTACTATAGCTTGATGTTTGCAGCACGACTGCCAAGAGGCATTTTTCTCAGCAGCAGGCAACGTATGATTTATATGGTGTTTGCTCGCATTTTGGATCACTAGGCTATGGACACTACACCGCGACGTGTAGAAGTGTTGACAATGGCTGGTATTGTTACAACGATAGTAGCGTTACTTCTGTACAGGACCCGGTTGATTCTTCAGCCTACATCCTCTTTTATCAGAGGAGTTAAAAGGCAAGTTTTTTCTTTGTTTTATTTTATTTTGTACCAAACTTTTACATTTTTTTCAACTTTGTTTGGTTACCACCAGTTTTGGTACCTATTAGCGATATAATAAGATCTCTGGTAAGTTTTACTCCAGCTTGGGTACCATAATGAAAATTTTTTTAGTTGTATTAGCAATTGTTTCACTCGCACAGGTAATTTTACTAATAGGTTCTTTACCTGTTAGTAATTCCCTTTGTTTTTGCAGCTAGCTTTATCTCTAGATATAAATTTACTAAATTCCACATGCTATGGTTATAAACAAAGGTTGCTCGAATTTGATTTCTATCTTCATACCATTCGTACCGCGATCAACAGTTCTCTTGAAGTTAACGAAACTCCTGTGACAGGGCTTGCACGTCAATTCCCTCCATATAGTTTTGGCTATACTTTTGCTTTCAGTCGCAAGCTAACCTCAAGTTTTGAGTATACGTCTCCAGAAATCGGTCGCATGGAAGGATACACTGCAGTTCCCAGCGCAGGCCAGGAATTTACTCAGGCCGATTTTAATTTCACCACACCAGCTTCTGGATATTTTACTGTGGCAGGGTATACAGATTTTACACGGTTAACGAACAAATACATTGTGAATGGAGGCATTGGAGATTTTGCATACTCAATTGGACAAGTGATTGTCACCACTGCATTTAACTACACAGGCAACAACTTTGTGTTTCTATGCAAAGCCTCACTTACTGTCCTCAAGCTTTGTTAGAAGAATAAGTAATAAAATCAAGAAAAGTGTAACTGTATTCTTATTACTATATTATGCTCACTCAAAATAATTCCAAGTTTATGAGTTTGTACCATATTATATATTGTGATTTAACTAAATACTAATTTTGAATAGAATTTAAGATTTTAATTTCTTTTCTTAATAGTAAATTATAACCAGGGTTATAATGGCGAAGCGCAAGTGGGACGAGGAGGAGAGCGTTGTCATGAACGTCCACGGCTTCAACAGCGCCTGGTCCTTCAATCCAGGCACCAAAGTTGACGAAGTGAAGAGCCTGGTATCCATGCAGTTCTCGGTGCCTTTCATGGAGATCTCCATCGTCCAGGACGGATTGGTAGCACCAGCGACGATGCAAAGCTGCGAAAGCTTGAAGCCCGGCCTCAAGTACCGCGTGGAGCGAAGCTGCCCTCGCCGCAAATCATTCGCCCTCGGCACCATAGTCCGGCCCTCCGTCAACTTTCACGTGAATGCACTTCCAGCGATCGCCGAGGTCGCTTCCATGCTCTCCCAAGGCAAGTACTGCGTGCTGTGTGGCCCGCGCCAGAGCGGCAAGACCACGGCCGCGCAAGCCGTCCGGCAGCGCCTCTCCGCGATCGTGGTTTACTTGGATGGTCTGTTCTTCCGAAAGGATTGGAGCGAGAGCAAGTTCTGGGGATATCTTTGGGACTCGTTGCACGCCAAGTGCCCGCAGTTCTTCAGAGCTCGCCGGGTGCAAGACGAGTACACCGACTTGAGCTTCCGGATGCTGTTTCTCAAGACGGCGTCGCAGATGGTCCCCGTGACGCTCATTCTGGATCGAGCTGAATCGCTGCTGGGTGCCTCCGCCGAGTGCCTTGGGAGGTTTTTCAGCACGCTCAGGAACATGAGGAGAAGGATGGGCGACTACAACTTGAAAGGATTGCTGCTGGTTGGGATCGAGACGGTGAAGGATCTCCTCGAAAGTCGGCGTTGTAACGATGGTTGCAGCATGATCACGCGCGAGCCATTTCCAGACGAGTATCTTGCAGAATGCCAAGGCTTCACGCGGCAAGAGGTTAAAAGGTTGCTGATCCAAGCAGCCGGCGAGCTCGTTCCAGCGGCGGCGCAGAGATTCGAGGTGGCGCGCTTGGCTGAAGCGGTGGTGGCGTTCACAGGCGGCCACAAAGGCTTAGTCGTGGTGGTACTCGATCGAGTGGTCGCTCACGAGTTTTTCAAGACCCAGGATCTCTGGTCACATCACAGCGACCTCGGTGCATACGCTTTCAGTCGAGCTGGTTACAAGCGGGCTCTGGAGAGATTCAAGCAGCGAAGCAGTGATCTCCTCCAGTTCCTCCAGACGAGCGGCCTCCACTGCGATGCTGGAAAGGTGGCGGAGTTTCGAGAGCTCATCGCCGACGGCGTTCTCGCGGCGAGGGAATCGCCACAACAAGATCATGGCGGCCGGAAGTACAACCTTCGCATTTCATCGCCACTGCTCCGGAGTCTCATCTTGCGCCGCTGCGTGATCAAACGACAGGGGACGATCACAGGCCCAGCTCCGGATCCTCGGGTCCGGCTAGCGAGGGAGTGGCTGATCATCCAAACGATCAAGGCTCTGGACGGGGCGACGATGTGCGGCGATGAGATCTCGCAGTACAGCCGCGAGTTCGCGTTCTTCGCCAGGATCAAGGCCGTTCTTGCGGAAGCATATCCTCTCGCGAATGCCATCGTCCTCGCTCACACGAAAGTATCAAAGGATGGGCTCGCGCTGCTCGACGAGGAGGACTGTCTCGAGATTCAAGTCCGCTATGGTTTCGAGAAGTTTGGATTCGTGCTCGCGGTGGAGGGTGACGATGATTTGCAGGCCATGGCGCAGAGATACCACAAGAAGCATGGCTGCCAGGTATACGTGATCAGCTTCCGGGATCAGCCGTTGTTGATCACGCCGGTGAAGGAGTCCGTGATCTTCGTTTCGGTGCGGTTTTGCGCGACTAGCGCGGAGATGACTTTCAAGGATTCGCAAGGGACTGAAACGAAGGTGGACAATCTGGCGTTGGAGAAGTGGGGCGGCGAGTTTTCCTTCGATGATCTAGTATAGAAAAGCTTTGCAATTCATTACGTTTAGAGCTTCATCTTACTTTCAAAGCCATTCTCTAGAGATTTAGTACCTCTCCCACCGCTTTCCACCAGATTTTTTATTGAAAAAATGAGCTCCCTATCTTCTAGCAGAGTTTCCACATGAGTGAGAGTCCCTGGATTTTTTAGAGTGAGTCAGAAATCTCGGCAAAACAAAACAAGCATTGACTTACTGAATCTCCAGTAATGCTTTGGATTCGTTGGATCGTTGATAGTTTCCTCGTTGGCCGGTCGGCCTGTATACTCCTCCTTGAGAGCAAGAAGGTCCTGCAGCACAAATCAACTTAGCAAACTTTTAGAAACTTTGCAAACGTACCTGGAGAGGGAAAATGGCCCACATTGACGGCGATTTCATGTGTTGTTCGATTATAACTCGCGCAACATCTGGTAAGCACTGAGCAGGAGGGGACTCACTCATTCCCAGATAGTCTTTGTAGAATCGGATTCGTCTGCCTTCGTCATCCTCCCACCAAGCACGCATAGTCGAGCAGTCATGACACGAAGGTGCACACACCTTGTAAACACCGGCAAATGTCAGGGATCATGTTGTTGGATGCTGTGATTAGTTACCGTCATGTATTCGTATTCCAGTGGATTGCCAAACTCCTGGCCTGGAGTGCTGGGCATCCGTTGGATCCTCAGTCCAAGCAGGCCAAGCTCGTTAAGAACCTGGAAAGGTTTTGTTTTTTAGTCTTACAATCATTGGAAAACAAGTTTGCTTACCGGAGCAACGCATGCTGGGACCATTCCAAGGTCCTCTCCACAAGTTAGCATTTCAGAAGAGCTCATTAAAACTGGAAGCGTTTTTAAAGCGTTTTCGCGCCAGAGGCCTTCTTGCCTGTGATAGAAGTAGTCATAGTACAATCTCTGCAAGACGTTCTTGCTGCATAGAGCAAAACCACCGAGTCATTTCGAAGAAGGGAAGAAAAACACTACACTAAGTACCTGTGCTCGTCAAGCTCCTTGAAATTTGATGTGTTCTCCATTCCAAATCTCGGATAGAACTTTCTACTGTCCTCTGGGTCCCTCATCAAGACAACGTCCTAGATATGCAAAAAGAGGCTCTAGAGAAAACCGGTTAATTTCCATGATGCTGCTTACACGTAGAAGGTCGAACAATGCACCCTTGATTTGTTCCTGCTTTTTCGAATCTTCAAGTTGACTAACAGCTCCAAGAATTTTCCTTTCTGTATCGTGCTCTTTCTTGAACTGCAAACACGCCGGTTAGAATTGAAGAGAAATGCGGTGAAAGGAGAAACGACACCTTGTAGCACAAATGTTCGTACTCATCAAAATACTTGGACGCAATCTCAGACCACGCGTCTCCAAATTTTGCCTGGTAATGGGAGTTAGAGCGAGTGAAACAATTTGATCAAGCTCACTTGCAAAGTATGACATCGAACGTATGGTTCGCTAAGACGATTGAAATCCCAAATTCCTTGTGCTTCCAGCTCTTCCTGCAAAAATCAAGTTGTACATAAGCATTTCACTAAGTTGCCAAACTCTGTGTACCTGCGTCAATGGAAGCGACGGTCGAAACTTGCCCATAAGACCTGTAACAGCGTGCGCAGGCAGCTCCCAGATGCGAAAAAATCCTAGAATGTGATCAATCCTGTAAGCCGTGAAGTACTTGGACATCTGCAAGAAAAATGAGTTGTGTGGAGAATCTCAAATGTGTCCGTTCAAACCTGAGTTAAACGAGCTCTCCACCATGCAAAGTTATCTTTGGACATTTCTTCCCAGTTGTAAGTAGGAAATCCCCAGTTTTGCCCGTTCTTATCGAAATAGTCTGGAGGAGCACCCGTCGATGTATTCATTCGAAACAATGTGGGAAACACCCATGTATCCACACTGTTTCTATCGACACCAATGGGAAGATCTCCTTTCAAAACAACGCCATTGTTTCGAGCGTACTCAGACGCTTCAGTGAGCTGGGAAAAAAAAAAAAAACATTAATTGGTAAAAAGCAAAAAGTGGCATATTTAATTAACAACCTGAGAATGAAGATGATACTGAAGAAAGTATGTGAAAGAGATCAAGTTGTAATGGTCAGAAGAAGGAGACACAAGCTTTTCTAGCTGTAGCAAAAGGCACAATTTTAATGATGTTTGTTTACCTTATAAGAGTAGTTTACCTTTTCAGGCGAAAATGTTGAAAAGCGGCCCCATTGAGAATGATCAGCGGTGTCGAAAAGGTCACGCAAAAAGCAAAAAGCAGCAAATGGTTCTAACCAGTGCTGCAAAATCAGAAGCTTTAGACAAAGGATTTCCACAGTTGCTTTCCACTTCACCTTATTTTCGTCAAAGTAAGTCTTAAACTTTGAGGAATTAAATGCGGCTTCTTTTTCTATGTGAAAAATCTTTTTAGCTATAGACAGCTTTGTCTTCATGGTTCCTTCATAGTCAACATCCTGCATTTGGAGACAGTCAATAACTGAGTAAACTAAAGTCAGGCTAACCTTTAGATCGAGCTTCTTTCTTGCTTGGGAAATCTCGTCCTGTAATGCGTCATCAGTTTGTTATCACCCTCAAATAAATCAACCTGGAGTTCTTGAGGCAATCTTTCAGTCATGGCTTCCAAGCTCAAATAAAGCGGGTGTAGAGCGAATACTGAAAGTGAGCTGTGCAACGAAGGATCACTCAAATCTCAGGTGTGACATATTTACCTGTATGGATACGAGTCCCACCACATCCCGTGCACGGAAGTATCATTAACTGGTAGCAACTGTAGAAGCCTCAATCCAGACTTCACTGCTAAATCCACAAGCAGTTTCAGGTCCAAAAACTCGCCCGCTCCAACGTCCGCATGCGTCCTTATTGAAAACACAGGGATGGCAAGGCCAGCACCTCTCCACAGATCACCCTGGAAAAAGTATGTGACTTCATTCTCAAAGATTACCAAGCCAACCTTGAAATGTCCATCCGATACTATAATCAGGGAAGATGGTTTTCTCCATGTAGAATCAAGTGACAACTTGCGGCCATCGCCAAGCTCGCACGTCACTTCTCCACGGAGATCTTTCAGAAAGTAGATGTACGTGCTTATGTCAAGGTCAACAATAGAAAATCAAGGAAAAAGAATGATGAAAAATGTAGGATATTTCACGGGAAAGTCTTGTTTATCGATTGCACAGCAGCCATGCCAGCTTGAATCGCCCGTTCTCGTAAGCTTAAGTGCTGATTCATAGTCCCAGCTTCCAAGAGAACTCGAACTTCCAGTAACGTAAACCTGCATTAACGTTGCAGTTGTAAGAAAACCAAAAGACGTATAGAGTGGTGAATTTTCTTACAACTTGCCCATTCTCTAAGATGGAACAACTGAGCTCAAAGCAGACACCAATTTTTCCTGCCCAAACAACAGCCATTCTTTGAGAAACAAACAAATAAGCGAGAAAATAAAGATGGAAACTATGATCCAAAAGCTTTACAAAACGTACCACGATCTTTGAGGAGCTCGGCGCCATAGCTGCCGGTAAAGGGAGTACCAGTCTCCTCACAAGTGCTACTAGACTTGGAGTTTCTAAAAATCGCGTCACGGAAAGCACTGCGTGACAGCAAACTCTCTGGAGAACAGCCTTCCTGTAGATAAAAATTCGCTACAACAAAGAAATTTGATCAAGAAAAGTACCTGCCAGAGATCATATAGATCAACAATGCTGCCACTGGGAATTCCATCCGGAAGAACAAAGCTCCGGGGATTTCCAGCCTCCCTCCTGACCGCATTGCGCTTATCATCCACAACGCAATACGAGTAGCTCGCCTGGAATCCCTCGCGCACGGGCAGCTGCGCGGTCCAGACCAGCTCGCCGAGCTCCTCGTCGTGGTGTGGAACCATCGCCAGTCCATGGTGGAGATTCCAGCTGCCGAGAGAGGAATGCGAACCTGTGACGATGAGATTCTGGCCCCATTGCGTGAAATATGGAATCCGGAAGCGCAGATTGACGCGCCGCGGCTCCGCTGCCCTGGCGCCGATCATCGCCCTCTCTCGATCGATCGCGCGCGAGGAATCCATCCCTGGCGCATCCATCGCGTCGCGCGGTGAATGGAGGACATTTCCCCATGAAAAGAACAAAGGAGCCTGGGATCGAACACGAGACTCATGACACTAATGACACGTAGCACACTGGCATATACACGTTAGCATAGTGGTATATCCTTCGAATATTAGGGTTCATGCGTGGAGGATTGCGCGCTTCTATCAGGTTTTCTTCTCCCAGAGCTATCGCCAGGGGCTGTGCAAGCCTTGGAGCTCTCGATCGACCCCAGGGGCTTGAAAATCCACCCATGGCGCGCAAATGCGGGGCGGATTCCGGCCGTGCCAGGCAAATCTACGCGCAGGTGATCCAGAACAGGGCTGAGATTGACGATTTCATTGCCGAGGAGCTCGTCCAGATGTTCATACGTTGTGGATCTCTCTCAGACGCCGTGAAATCGCTGGATGAGCTGCGAATCCAGAGCGTGGTCGCGTGGACTGCGACGATCTCGGCATTTGCCCGGCTGGGGCATCGCGGCGAGGCATTTTTTCTCTTCCACAGGATGCTGCTGGAGGGTGTTTTGCCAAACAAGGTGAGTTTCATATCCATTGCCAGCGCCTGTTCTAGTGAAGACGAGGCTGATTTCCTCTGTGACAGGATAGTCGAGCGAGATCTTCAAAGGGATCGTCTTGTCGGCACAGCTCTGGTAAATCTCTATGGCAAGTTCCAGAGGCTGGACGAGGCGTGGACGATTTTTTGCGCGCTAGAAGGAAGAGATCTTGTGTCGTGGAACTCCATGCTATCGGCGTTTAGCGAGCACCAGCAGTGGAGAAGGAGCCTTGAGCTTTTCAAAGCGATGCTGCTTCAAGGTTTGTCTCTGGACAGTATAACATTCCTCGCAGCGCTCAAAGCTTGTGCCAACTTACGGGATTTGTCACAGGCAAAGCTTGTCCATGGACAAATCTGTGAGAGCGGACTAGAAGGAGCGGACATGGTCGGGAACACGATCGTTGATACGTATGGAAAGTGTGGCAGTATCGACGATGCTCTAGCGGCTTTCGAGCGAATTCCAGCCAAAGACATCGTTTCCTGGAACGTCATGCTAGCATCTCTCAGCCAGAATGGAAGCTCTGCCGAGGCAGTAAAACTTTTCAAGCAAATGCTTCACGAGGGAGAGAGAGCCGAGAAAGTTACAGTCGCGACGCTGCTCCACTCTTTCGCGAGCCGGGAGTTTTTGCAAGAAGGTGAGCTTCTTCATGATCATATTGTCGAGCTCGGCCTGGATATTGACATTGTCATGGCAACCGCGCTGTTGATCATGTATGCCAGGTGCGGAAGCATGGATCGAGCGAGTAAAATGTTCGACACCATCCAGAACAGGGACGTGGTTCTCTGGAACACTTTCATTTCATCGCTCGCTCAAGCTGACCGCGTGAAGGATTCCTTCCAGGTGTTCCGAAGAATGCAGCTGGAAGGTGTTCGTCCAAACAAAGTCACATTCGCGAGCGTCATCGACGTGTGCACAAGCTTAAGTTCGCTGGCGGATGGAATGCTCGTTGCCGCGCTGGTTTTGGAGAGCGGACTTGGCTCCGACACCGTTCTCGGCAACGCGATCATCGACCTGTATGGGAAGTGTGGAAGCCTCGAAAACGCGTGGGAGGCATTCGACAGGATGGAGAACAAGGACGTGGTTTCCTGGACGACGATTCTCGGTGCTTACTCCCAGCACGGGCTTTTCAGCGAGGTGGTCGGGCTTTTCAACAAGATGCTGCTGGAAGGCATAACTCCGAGCACGGTTACGTTCGTCACGGTTCTTTACGCCTGTGCGGAATGCAAGGCTCTAGAGGTCGGGAAGAAGATCCATGCTCGTGTCATGGAGGCCGGACTGGAATTCGACGAGCTTCTCTCCAGTGCCATTCGGTCGCTGTACGCGGAGTGTGGCTACCTGGAGGAAGTTTGCAGAGTTTTCCACGGTAGGAAGCAGGAGCAAGAGGTAGCGGCTTGGAACGGGATGGTGGTAGCCTTGAGTAGACGGGAACTCTTCGACGAGGCAGTGGGACTCTATCGACAGATGCAGCTGGAAGGAGTTCCCGGGGATAAATTCACACTGGTGTCAGTGCTGGAAGCTTGCTCGGAGCTCCCGCTCGTCAAGTCGATCGAGGCCAGAGCTCTAAGTTTGAGGTTGGAGCAGGACGACACGATCAACACGGCACTTCTCAAAGCGTACAGCCGGTGTGGAAGCATGCGAGACGCGAGGAGAGCTTTCGAGAGAACTCCAAAGAAGGACGTGGTTGCATGGTCGGCTATGGTGGGAGCTCACGCTCACCATGGTTGTGGAGAAGCGGCACTGGAGCTCTTCCAGCTCATGCAACTCGACGGCGTCATGCCCAACGACGTCTCCTTCGTGAGCGTCTTCTCGGCGTGCAGCCACTGCGGGAGTGTGGAGAGAGCTTACGAGTACTTTGTGGGACTGGAGCAAGACTATGGAGTGAAGGTCACGGTCGAGCACTGGAAGTGTATGATGGATCTGCTGGGACGGGCTGGGCGGCTCGGCGAGGCCGAGAAGTTCTTGAGCAAGATGGAGTTTGAGCCGGACGTGGTGTTGTGGACGACGCTCTTGGCCGCGTGCAGTGTCCACGGGGACTTTGAGCTGGGGAAGCATGCGGCAAAGCGGATTCTAGAGCTCGACGAGGAAGACGACGCGGCTCACGTAGTTCTTACGAGCCTCCAGCATTCTTCGCAGAGTGATATCTTGGAGAGTGGCCGGGGATAGAACACTTTGGAGCAGAGGTCGTGACACGAAACTTTGCAGCACAGCCTACCAATCCAGGTTGCTTTGCAGCCAGTGCCAACGAAGAAGAGGTTTGGGAACACGATCATTCATAAAAGAGAGAGTGCTGCTCGGGACCTTTGGGCTCTTCTTCACGATCATATTGTCGACGTACTTCTTTCACGAGGATTGTTGGATCTTACGAGAATCTCTAGATTATATTGGGATGTTTCTCAAAACTTATCACGTCTTGTGGCTGTAGTTTAGTGGTGAGAATTCCACGTTGTGGCCGTGGAGACCTGGGCTCGAATCCCAGCAGCCACACATATTAAACCCTTTTCAGTAACATTTTGTTTTTTGGTTTAGTTTTTTCAAAACTTTTCCTTTAGGGCTCTTGCGAAGAATGCTGCTCGGGAGTGCGGCAAATGGAAATGGAATCGTCGTCTTCAAACAATTCAGGTCTCGTCAGCTGCTGAGCGGCAGGATTTCCAGCTGCAAAATTCCTAGCTCGCATTTCTCGCTGTCTAGGAGTCACTTAATTCGATGCGAGGCCGCCTCCAACGCAGGTGCTCCACCTTCATATCTTTGATCATCAAAATCTCTCTTGTTCTTATTTTCCGATTTTGCTCCATAGCAGTGTCGAGCGTTCCTGGTATCGAGTGGGTCCAAAGAACTTTCGATCTCCCACCATATAAAAGGTATGTAAAAAGAAAAATGCGAGGATTCTGATCTTTGCAATCCAGAGGATGTCACATAATCACCCAGCAAATCTACAAGGCCGTGCCGGAGATTAGAAACTTTCGAGTCGGCATTGCTCACATCTTTGGTAAGAACTCCAAGAGAATTGAATCGACGATGTTTTCTTGCAACTTTTTTGCTCTTGATCGATCTTGTGCGTGATTTGCAGTGATGCACACCTCGGCGAGTCTCACCATCAACGAGAACGCGAGCCCCGACGTACCACTCGACATGGAGGACGCCTTAAACAAGATCGCTCCAGAGGTAAGGAAAAATTCTCTCCAGAGTTTCCAATCGTTTTTGCTCTCCTTGAAATCGTTCTTGAAGGGTCACCACTACCGTCATCTCGATGAAGGACTGGATGATATGCCGGGTGAGTAAACTTGGATGGTCATCTCCCTTGCAAACTTCGCGCTACGTTTTTTTCTTCTTCCTGTGAAGCTCATGTCAAATCTTCGATCATGGGTTGTTCGTTGAGTGTGCCGATCACCGCTGGGAGATTAAATCTTGGAATCTGGCAGGTTGAAAGAGCTAGAGATAGTTTTTTGTCCTCTCCTTGAGTATATCGTGTTGGCTTTTTGTTTTCGCAGGGAGTCTGGCTCAACGAGCATAGAGACTATGGAGGCAGTCGAAGGCTCTGCATCACAATCCATGGACAATGCTGAGTATAAATACTACGAAGTGAAAAGCTCATACGCAAAAGAAAACCATACCTGGAAGTTGTATACAAACAACCCGAGTCCGAAGGAAGATTTGGTTCTGCCACCATCTTTCTCTGTGAGATCAAACTCGAAAGTTCTCCGTAAATTCTGATCAAACAACAAGATCACAGACTTTCCTAGTGTTTCTTATGTGGTTTCTGAATGCCACGCTTGTACCGGGTAATGGACAGCCAGTTCTGGATCTGTAACAAGAAAGTTCCACACAGGCTTTGCTAGAACGATGCCACTAAAGAAATTTGGAAGTACCTGCTTGACCGTGAGGCCCGTCTGGGCTATGAGCTCCTCTCTCTCGAGAAGAGATGGATATGGATGATCGGAGTGTTGAGTGATCCAGGACTCGAGAATTTGGACTGATTGACGCGGCAGAGAGTACATGTTCTTGGGCCTCGAAAGTGGAAGAAGCTTAAACCTGCATGGATCGTCGATTTCTCAAAGAAAAGAATCCAGATTACGCAAAGAAGGTGTTCGCTTACTTGATGAGCTTCCTCGGCTTCGATCGCCTCGATCTCGCCTTTCGGACGGCCGTGTGCTGCCCCGCCATCGCCAGATAGAAGACTGGATGCTTCTCTTCCGGCTCGAATTCGCAGCTGATAGCCGAGCTGTCGGAACAGGCTGCTGGATCGCAATCGGCCTGGCGCTGCTGCTCCTTGCGCCAAAGTATATCGTCGGCTGGCGTCCAGTCGCAATCCGGATCAAGAATATCGCCGGCGCCTTCGTCCAGCTCTGGGAGATCGCAAATGTCGCTCAAGACCTGGCTTCCAAACTCCGGAAGCGATTCTTTCCCCGCATTCGCCTCCATCGCCCCTGCCAGAGAGCAAATCGAAGTGAGATTGGAGTGAAATATCACATCTGGAGCAGTAGAATCGCAAGATCGATAGAGAAGAGAGCGGCATAGTACCCGAGGCGAGAGAGCTCGCGAGGAGAGAACTGGAAGAACCCTACGTAAAGCCTTTGGCCAGAGAAAATTTGAAATGGACGGCGTAGATTCGCTTATTTGCGACGAACGGCTGGGGTGGCCTAGATCCGACGGCTCAGCTGTGAGCCATTGAGCGGGAAAGCACCTTTGAGTACTTCTGGATGTGGTGCTTGGCTCTTGCGTTGGACATCCAGCTCTCGATCTAGCAAAAACCACGAAAAAAATCACACCGACCGATCGATCGCGCGAAGAACTTTGTCTGGAGAGAAGAAGTAAAAGGAAAGATCACGACGTACCTGTTTGGTCTGCAATCCGGTTTGGATCACCAGATCGGTTTTCTCCTCCGCGCTCGGGTATGGATTCTCCCTGTTCGCGTCGAGCCACATCGCGAGGATCTCCTTGGCTCTGGCAGGAAGCTTTGCGACTGGCCTCTTCCTCTCGTATCCAGTCCGGCGGCGGCGGCGCTTGGGAGAAGCAATGGGTGGCGAGAGTGGTGGTGACATCTCGGACTCTCGATCGAATTCGTCCCTGGCACGCTTGGAGCTCGCGAATTTTGTGCTGCTTCTCTTCTTCTTGGGTTCGTGCTCCTGCTGCTGCTCGACTGGTTTGTAGGCCGAGTGGAACTCGGTGGCGGTGTCGCAGCACGATGAACTGTTGTTCACGGAGAGGCTGCAAGAGTCCACCACTGATTCCGCGAGTAGAGGCGTCGACTGATCCAGCATCGTGTAGTTGTCCTTCGAGAGTAAGCTGAGCTCCACGAACCGATCCAGTCTTGGGCTTTGAAGTTTCTTCTCGGTTCCATGATATCCAGGCACTGCTGACGATCGAGTGTCGGTCCATGTCCTCTCGCAGTCTAATTCTTCTGCTAGATCTTGTTCCCGATAGTTTCCTTCTTCCTCATGGATCTCGGTGATCTCCACGCCGGGATGAGCTTGCATGTCGGCATCCTCGTAGAGGATCCCATCCTTCGTCAAGTTGAGTGCGTAAGACATTGTCGACGACTCCTCTCGCATGACTCCACTCACCAGCGTTGGTTGATCGTATACTGGAAATAGCTGGAAGTCACCGCTACCGTGATCGCCACCATGACCTTCCGCCATAGAATCGTTTGGAAAGAGTGGAATCTCGCTGCTCAGAGAAATCTGTGCTTGCTGTGTCTCCAGCGCCTCCGGAATCCCATCCAGAGCCAGTAGCGGGATCTGCATTTGCCGGAGAACCGCGTGGATCGCTGAGTGATCACACCCCATTCCATCCTGGAACAATCCCCCGTGATCCTTGATGTTGAGCACGACCTGGATTGTGCTCTGCTCCTCGGTCCTCGCCGTCCAGCCCTGCGCCGCCTGATCGGCCGAAGCGAAGCACGCGGCGGTCGTCTCCATGAAGATTCCAGTCTCGCCGGCCTCGTTCCAGTAGGACGACTCGCCCTGTTCTTGCTGCGGCGCCGGCGCGGGATCGCGATTCACGAGATCTTGAGCGTCTTCCTCCGATGTCCAGGAAGCGAACTCGAAATAATCGTCCGCCATGGATACCGCTGCGCAGCACCGGATCGATCACGTAACGATTCAAGCGCAGAGAGCAAGAATCCGTACCTTGCGCAGCATCGACCGATTCCAGCTCCAGGATCGGCAGCGCTGCGTCGTCCGCCTCCATCGCCACCAAGAAATGCCCGAAATATCAGGGTTTTCCCGCGCGAGCGTTCTAGGGCGCCCATAAACCCTAAAAACAGGGCCAGTTTTTAACCATGCAATAATTCCAAAACGTTGGAACGGGTAAAAAGATAAAAAATTGCGACGATCTCATCCTCTATGTTGCGGTTGTTTTGTCCGCGAAGCTCTCCACGAAGTTGCAAGAAACGTGGTGGCCCAAGCTAGCTAGGGGCGAAAGTAAAAACTCCAATTTACCTCCCTCATTTAAACTTTTTCACCCTGTAGCAATTTTCCTTGCTTCTTTGTCCTCCATCGCGAAGGTACCAGGAAGAATTGTCCACCCTATAGCTTTGTCCAAAAGTGTGTGCGCCCGGCCCATTCCAAGCAGCACGCAACATGGCCCATTCCGGGCGAAGAGTCGACCACGCAACCTACCAAAGGAGAGAGACGACCGTACCTATCAATTAATCAAGACCGTACTTATCTCTTTAGGGCTGTGATGAAGCTGCCAGGAAATTGCCGCGTCAGCTAGGCGATAAGACACTGCGATTTCCGGCACCTGCCGCGAAGGCGCCATTGGCCTTCTTTCCGGCAAGTTGCCGGTAGGTGCCACATTCCGGGGCATATGCCTGCCACGTGGTGGGCCCCGAACGATTTCCATGTGCGCAATGTGTGTTTCGGTTGAACGAGACCTCCCGCGCTAATGTAAAAGATATAGCGCTGGAAAGAAGGGCGTTAAAGAAAGGGCCAGGTGGAAGCCCCCAGGAAACTTCTTCCCGTGTGCTACACTGGCGCTGTTATAAACATTAGAGAGGCCCGGCCAAGGAAGCAATACACGAAGCCGGCCTAGGGTTTTATATTTTGGGGGTTCTTTCTCCGCCTTCCTCGATCGATAGCTAGAACAGGAGCGTTATGGCGGTGATTCTCGCGAGAATGGAGCTTTGATTCGTTAGAAGAGCGAGAAATCGAGTGGATCGTGCGGGAAATTTCAGGATGTCGAGGGCTAGAACGGATTCCAAGCTCTTTAGAAGCACCGGGAGCGTAGGAAAGCCAGGGAGGAAACCAGCGGTGGGAGGGTCGCCTGTGGCAGCGGCCGCGGCGTCCTCCATCCCGGTCAAGGAGTCGCCAGATTCCAGCCAGCAGGTGGATCCGGATTTGACGAGAGCGCTCAAGCAGATCTTCGAGGTGAGGAACTGCAAGCTCAAAGATCACGGCAGCAGCCACAACAATAACAGTAACAGCAGTAGCAAGAACAGTAGCGAGGAATCGTGCCTGACTTTATTTGGGAGGAAGCTGGCCTCGCCGTCGTCCAGTCTGGATGGATCCGACGGGAACACGAAGAATGTGGCAAATCAGTACTCGCGGCAAGGGACGGACAAGCTTCCTCCTGCTGCCACGGCTCATCTTCTCAAGGAGCTCCACAAGCAAAGGCTCAAACAAAGGGGTAAGTTTTTCATAGCAGTGAAAAGTATATCTAAACGATTTTTCGGTTTGGATTTCTTAGGAATCACTGCCTCGGCCAACGATTTCCCAGACATGGGCGAGATTGAGTTCGTCCACACTGAGAGAAGACCGGAAGTGTCGACGCTACCACTTCTCAACAATTTACAGGAGAAGAGACCTCTGGTAAGTTTTTGTGACTTGGATCGACGAGGAGACGAAGACTCATGGGTTGTTTTTCAGGAAAATGCCTCGGATTGCAGCCCTGAAGCAAAGAGGCAGCGGATCGAGAAGGATAAAAGCCTGGATCTGAGTCTTTCGGTGGAGTTTGGTTCACCAGATGAAGCAGCTCGAGATTCGAACAATACCCAAAGCATGGACATTGCTGCTGAGGAGGAGAGGTAAGACTTTTGAGGAAATTTCTTCTTTTTGTTAGGCAGTCGTGACTGAAGCTTGTTTGCTCTCTCAGGACACATGCAACCGTGAAGGATCCGGAGCAGCTCACACTCTTCTACAATGGCCAAGTCCTCGTGTACGACGACGTTCCATCCGATAAGGTGGGTTCCTTTGTGCCTTTTGCTATCGTGGAACTGTGTATTAACCCTTCGGTTTTTGCTCTTCAGGCTAAAGCGATCATGGTGTTGGCTAGTAGCATCAGCTCAAAGACATCATGCTATACTCCTTGCCTTGCTGCGGCTACTGCCGCTGCGGCGAAGGCTACCGGTGCTGCTACTGCTCCGCCTATCGTAGTTCCAACCACGGCAAAAGCATCTAACTCGTTGTACCCATCACCAAAGGGCACCACTCCAGCGGCAGACAAACGCTCATCGTCAAACGGTAAGCCCGTGCTTTTTGACTCCCACGCATCCGAGCTGACCTCGATCCTCCTCGCGTTACAGACGTCCAAGCAAGGAAGGCATCCATTAGCAGATTCCTGGTCAAGAGAAAAGACAGGTGTGTATCTCACCACCATCTCGCCAAGACCGAGGATCAAACTCGGTGTTTATGTGTGACTTAACTGACGCTTTCTGTTGTGCTTTCCAGGCTGTCTGCCAAGCCAGCCGAGAAGGCCGAGGCGTCGTCAAAGTCGTCCGCGAAAGACATATCGCAGCGCTCGAGAAGCCCGTCACCGGCAGCGTCGAGCAGTCCCGTGACGCCCCCCAGGGCCTCGCCTCCCAGGCTCGTCGACGAGCTCAAGCTCCAGCTAGAAAAGGGGGAGATGCTCAAGAGATCCATCCCGGCAAATGCTGGATCAGCAACAGCAGCAGCAGCAGCACCGAGGCAGTGGATTGGTGTGTAGAGGCGGTGGAGATGATTCGCAGTGCCAAGTTTTAAAGGTTTTGGACTGTGGAAGGCAGCAGCAGCAAGCTAAGAACAGGCCAAACTCAGACACACACACACACAGACACTCTCCTCTTTACCAAGTGAGAAAACAAAGAGAGTATAGCTTATATTTGATACTTATAACTCTTCTCTTCCAAAATTCTTGTGTATTTCTCTCTCTTTCTCTAGTTTTTTTCTCATCTGGACAGCATATTCGCTTGATGGATGGACGGATGGATGGAAGGTTGATCACAAACAATGCCCTCGGAAAGATTGTGGAGGGTTGCTTTGTATAGAACAGACAAAAGCAAAGAAAAATTCTTTGATTAAAACTCTTTGAACGTTCTTCCAAGCTTCTAAAAAATGGGTTGTTTGGCGATCGCTCTCTGTGGATTTGAATAGATCATTCGCAGCACGAGATGTTTGAATGTTTGAAAGTTTGACACTGGGCTGGCTGGTGCTCGCTGCTTCCAGCGCGTGCGCTGGTCCTACCATTCCAGACTACTAAGAATTTCTAAGGCTGTGTCCCAAAAAGGCACATTTAGACCGGCGCTTTCTCTGAGGGGGCGGGGGTGGACAAAAGTAGAGGCGTGAGTGCATGGAAGCTTCGAGGTTTGGTTGCCTAAAGTTGAGTCGCCACACTAGGAGTCAGTGTTTTGTGTTGCGCCAAGAGGAAGGAGAAGAGAAGAAGATTGGGTTTGAGTGGCCCACTCACACTACAACATGCACATACTCTTTCTTGCTATTGGTCCACCACCAAATTTTACACTTCTCTGCAAACATCAGGTATATAACTATGTTGTTTAATTTTATTAACAAGGAAAGATATTTGATTATACTAACCAAGATATATAAAAATATCATAATATTTCCAATCTCAGAAATATCAAGTTCTTCTTCTGAAGATATTTTGCAAGAACTGCAGAGCAAAGTAATAAATTTTATTAAAACAAAACTAAATGATCTGACTAATATTTGAGTTCATATTGCATTATTTCTCAAATTCTTGACATTAAATATTCAACAATTATATATTTTAGCTTACAACTAATTCTTCATTTTGCACTTTTACCAAATAAATGTGATTGTAAAGCAAAAGAAAATTAGTTCAAATACTAAAAATTAACTCTTAAACTATTCTTATTTAGGCTCAAAAATAATATTTACTCCAGAATCTTTCTACTTCTAGAGAATACTTAAGTTAATAATTTTTATATTATTTTGAAATTAAATTTTTTATTTGTAAGAAAATTGTACACTGTATATAAAAGTGAGGTATAATTTCCTTAATTCCTTACTTAGAAAAACTAAGAAGCAAAATATAAAAACTAATTAGATATCATTTCTTACTTAATATAATTAAAAATTATAATTAGATTTATGAGTGCTTGGGATATAGGAATAAGTATGTTAGTGAACTCTACTTATATACAATGATGGATGGACCAAATTCAGTCACAAATGAATAATTTATATACTATAATACTATAATTAATATATTATCTAGCTAGGGTAACATATATGTGTGTGTGTGTCTATATATATATATATATATAAACCTTATTTATGTATTATGTATTTACAAACCTTACATCATTCTCCCCTCTAGAAGATGAAAAGGTGATGATAATAATTCAAGTAGAAAATCTAAAATTTTTACTAAGTGATTATAAATTACCACAAGAATTTGAAGTTCCCACAAAACTATTAACAAAGTTGTTGATAACCATGACTGAAATAAAACCCCAAAACCATGGTATAAATATCAGTCGATTACAGAATTCTAATGAACCAATTGCAACTCCAATTGCAACTCCCAAATGCTCAAATTAACCATGTAATCATAACTTTGAATTGATGTAAGAGACTTTGAGAGCCATTATAATCTATAGAACACTATTAAAGCAAATAATACATCACATTATTAAGTTTGTCTATCGACAATCCTCCAAAACCACCATTAATTTAGACTTAGGACTATAAGTAAAACCATTGTCCTTATCCAATACTACATATAAGAAGTTAAACTCACTCTATTTATCTTCCACATCTTTTTTATCCTCTTATCAAAAGAAAAAAAGTTCTAAAGCACTAATTCCATTTGGACTTGTTGTGCTTATCCTCACTCCACAATCTATATCATTTGTCCTTGCTCTAGTACCATATTCACTTATCCTCACTCTATTGTTAGGGTTAGACTTCTATCCATCCCTTTTACCCCCTTCTCCAAACAAAAAAAAGTTTAAAATGTTGGGGCAAAAAGAAGAAAATGAAAAAAAATTTGAGGAAAAACAATTGTGGAAAAAGAAAAAGTGGATAAAGAAGCATCGAAAGAAGAATTTACAATAGCTAACAATGTAAAAATAAGGAAATCAAAAGAAGAACATATGCTCAAAACTTGGAAAATAAGCGACTTCCTATCCAAATACCATAATATAAGCAAAAGATTCACACTTTTCAACCTTTTTAATATATAATTTAACATTTGAAATATGAAAACTAATAGAAATGTCCACACTCTTAATAAAACATATAAACTCCTTTGCACCAATGATAAAATGAAGGCTCTGAGTGATACTCACAATTAAAGACATGTAGTTAACTTAAATCTTTGGCCAAAGTGATCCAATCCTTGGAATAGGGGATACTCAACATCAAAATTGATCAAAGTTTTCATTAATAAAAAAAAAGCAAAATTCTCAACTTCATGCACATACTTAACATCCAGATTAATATGAGGACATAACACTCAACTCAACATTGGATTGAGAATGAAAATCATAAGGGTCATAAATGATTGATGTGCTAAGAGAAGAAAATATTGCAAATGAGGAAAAAATACTAAAAACATGAGAAGGTGGCTCAAGTCGAGAAATAAAATTAAAAATTAAAAAATAGCAGATTATAATCAAGCTTATCATCACAATCCAAAATCCATTTGAGCTCGTACACATTGTTTTCCCATAAATTCAATCCTTAAACATTTTCCAAGAACTAGATTGCATCATTCATAGTTCGCTAATCAACGTCATCATCACGCTTCACATCAATGGGAGATAGTAGAACACCAAGAAGAGAACAATTATATAATCATGTCTTATGGAAGTTGGAAACAACAACACACTAAGGATAGGTATAATACTAACATGAGCACACCCCACAACACCAAAAGTTCAATCCAATGGAGTAGCATTAATAACTTCAAGTGATATACTCCTTGATTGATGACTATATGGCATGATAGAAAAAGAGAATGTAATGAAAATCAAAAGAAAGAGTAGAGATAGCTAAAGTTCTAGATCTTACTATCAGGAATCCCCCAATTCTTGCCACATTCCTGACTCTCGCCGGATTCCTGACCTGCAGACCACATTCTTGACTTTCGAGACACTTCCCTATTCCTAACTCTCGAGACACTTCCCTATTCCTGACTCTCGAGACACTTCCCGATTCCTGAGTCTCGAGCCACATTCCTGATGATGATGTGGCGCCTCCTTAACCTCAGCTATATTTAGGCCGTCCTCGATCTAAGAGTGGTGGAGCTTCATCAACCTATAATATATATAGGTTAGCCTTGTTCCATTTCTCCACAATCTGAATCAACACCAGTCTAAGGCCTCTTCTTTGTTTCCACTAGCTTTTCTCTTTGTCTTTAGCATTTTCTAGTCTTGATCTTGTTGGGGGTCTTGACAGTTTGATTCAGATTGTGGTTTTTGCTTTTCTTTTAGCTCGTTTTGATTATTTGATTGCTTTTGTCTTTTTCCCCCTTTCTTTTCTTTCTTTTTGCCAATGGAGTCTCCAAGCCATCCTGATTTCTTTGCTGAAGTCCTTGCAAAAATCCAGTCTGAGAATACCGAGCTGAAGGCGACCCTTCTTCGCATGCAGCAGGAGCTTGCTTCACTTTTGGCTCAAGGATCCAGCAAAGTTCCTGAACCGAAGGTGAGTTTCCCGGCGAAATTTTCAGGCAAGCGTTCGGAGCTTCGTGGATTTTTGAACCAAATGGAGCTGATCTTTGCACTTCAACATCGGCAGTACCCCACTCCCGAGTCTCAAATTGGCGCGATTGGGACATTGCTCGAGGGTGTAGTTTTTTCATGGTTTTCTCCTCTTCTGGAGAAGAGCATGAAAGGGGTCGTGGTTCCGGAGCTGATGGATCTTCAAATGTTCAAAGAGAAGCTCGAAGCATGTTTTGGCGAGACGGATCGGGTTTGGGCTGCTACCACAAAGATGAGACGTCTCTCTCAGGGGTCTCGTCCTGCCTCGATCTACGCTGCAGAGTTCCAACTCCTTGCCTTGGACACTCAGTGGGATGAGTGGGCCCTGATTGACTAATTTCGTTTCGGCCTCAACAATGGTGTCAAGGATTTGTTGCTCACCATGGAGGATCCCAAGGACCTGTCGGACGCCATCAACAAAGCTGTTCGATGTGACAATCGTCTCTTTGAACGTCGTCAGGAAAGTCGCCGCGCCGCTGTTTTTCCGTCCCAGACTCAGGAATCCCAGCTTGAGTCTTTGGGGCATAGTCCTGAACCTACTGCTCCGGTCCCGATGGATATTTCTGGTACTCCCCGACTCATTAGAGGGAAGTTGAGTCCTGCTGAGAGGCAACGTCGAATATCTCATAATCTTTGCCTCTACTGTGCTGATCCTAATCACAAAGCAGCTGTGTGTCCCAGGAAGCCTCCCCGATTGCTTGAGTTCACTCTGCCTCAAAGTCCACCTCTGTTGCAGTCGGGAAACGACCCTGTCCAAACAGAGTAGGAGCTGTCTGTTTGGACTCCCCAAATAAAAATCACTTTTCTTCCTTATCAAGCTCCTCACCACCTTTCATCAAAGCCACCACCAATTCCCGCAACTTCTGCGTCCCATGTCTCCTTTCTTTCACCGGACAATCAGGACTCAAGGCTTTGGCGCTACTGGACTCGGGTGCAACTTCTTGCTTCATGGACACGGACTTTGCTGCCCGACATCACGTTCCTCTTTCTCCTACCATACGGGATTTGAGGGTTGAAGGCATCGGCGGGCATTTTGTGTCTCCATCTTCTGGACTTAGGGAAACGTTGCCCATTCGAGTACACATTCGGTCCACTGTCACCGATATCGCCTTCAACATCATCAACAGCAAGTCCTCCTCTGTGGTGCTCGGTCTTCCTTGTTTCCAACTACATCAGCCTCAGATCTGTTGGAAGGAATTACAGCTCATCTCTCCCACGGCTTCCCCTGCTATTCATCGAGTCCGAATCAGGAAAAGTTCCCTAAACTCGAATCAGGGTTCTATTCCTGACTCTATAAAGTTTTCACCCTCTTCTTTTTCCTCTCTTCCATCTTACAC